GGCGCGCGTGAGCACGCGCGCAAGAGCAGCAAGCGTCGGCGTCGCCGCCGACGGCTGAAGGAGAAAATGTGTTGATCTCGGAGATCGACACCCACTTTTCAGCGAATCAGGAAGAGTCTCCGACCGCAAGGGGAACGGATGACGCAGACGAGTCACACGCCTCAGCCGTGGAGGCTGACGCGAATCTGATTGGATCAGGTCTGGCCAATAATAAGAGCCAAGGTGACGTAACGCCGTCGACTCCGGGAGTCGATGGCTTGGGTGAATTTGATTCGTCGGCTCGGGGAGCCGACGCACCCTCCGTAATGGAGGGCTCCGCCAATAACAGGCGTCGAGGTAAAGATGGCGTGTCGGCTCCGGAAGCCGACGCTGCAGGCGGTGCGGACGGTTGCAAACGTTCCGCACCGGAATAAACTTGCATGCTGTCGTGCAGCCGGGCTGCACGACGAAGCGCCGGGCGACCAAGCCGGGCTTGAAGTCGCTCGCCCGCGGGATGAACCCGCCGGCGGTACTGAAGAAGAACACCCGTCCACGGCTGGGCCTGGACGAGGTCAAGAACCAAGCGGAGCCGGGCTCCGCAACGGCGCATGCGAAGATCGCTGCGCAAGTCTCGGCCTGGGGCCGAGACGCTACAAGAAATGTCTACTGGCAGACGGAGGCTGAGAAGCCGGACGTCGAGACGCTGAACGTCTTGACGCGTACCTGTGCCGGATTCCGGTACAGGGAGATGACTCTCGCTAACCCTCCGACGCAAGCGTCGGAGTTGACTTCGCTTCCAGTCATGAGCTGGAAGCGCTTCGCGCGTGACTTGCACGATGGACGCATCGAGCAAATATGCATTCTCTCGGACGCCGAGAGAACGAAGAGCGAGAATGAAGAACTGAGGCAGTTCTTCATGGAGACCACCACTGAGAGCGAGGACACTCTCAGTGCGAAGACGAAGAAGGAGCGCTTTGAAGAGCAGAGCTGGGACTCGTTTTCAACGAGTCCCTACTACGAGATCTTACGGGAGTACGCGGACGTACTTCCGGAAGAGATTCCTGCGGAGCTTCCGCAGGACAAGGGAATCCAGCACGAGATTGATCTCGTGACGGGCACGAAGTACTGTGTCGCGCGGCAGTGGCCACTGCCGCTAGAGCAGGTCAAAGCGATCGACGACTTCTTCGAAAGTCGTCGCAAAGCTGGACAAGTGCGGGAATCGAAATCCTCGCACAGTGCTCCGACGTTCTGTGTCAAGAAGCCACAGGGCGGCTGGCGCATCGTTCATGCGTATAACAAGCTGAACGATGCGACGATATCGGCGCAGACGCCGATACCTCGAAAAGATGTTATCATCGATTCGATGGCCAGGAGCACTATCTACAGTGCTCTTGATCTGTGCGATGGGTTCTATCAGATCCTCATGCGTGAGAGCGATATCCCTCTCACGGCAGTGAGCACGCCGAGCGACATGCTCTGGGAGTGGCTAGTGATGCCGCAGGGTCTGAAGAACGCCCCTGCGACCTTCAACAGGTGCGTGACGCACTTGTTGCGCTCGGTGCGCGACTTCGCACCGAGCTACTTCGACGATGTGTTCGTCCACAGCCGGGCTGCGGACGGGATAAGCGATGTTGAGATGCACAAGGCGCATCTCCGGAAGCTGCTTGCGCTCATGCGCAAGCACAAGCTCTATGCGAACCTGAAGAAGTGCATCTTCGGGGCGAGCGAGATACCCGTGCTCGGGTGTCTCGTTGGGAAGAACGGTGTCCACCCTGACCCTGAAAAGGTCAGAGTGATCAATGAGTGGCCGACGCCGTCGAACGTCAAGGAACTGCGGCGGTTCCTTGGCTTGGCCACGTACTTGTGCAAGTACGTGAAGGACTACGCGGGCATGATACGCCCGCTGTCACAGTTCCTGAAGAAGGACGCCGAGCGGAATTGGACTGTTGAGTGTCAGCAGGCCTGCGATGCAGTGAGCAGGGCTTGACGGAGGCGCCGATCTTGGCGGTGGCCGCCCAAGATCGCCCATTCCACGTTGTGTGTGACGCATCCGACTTCACAATCGGATGTGCGTTGATGCAGCACGATCACGAGGGCCGTGATCGTGTCGTCTACTACCAATCGCGTCAGCTGAAGCCAGCTGAGCGCAACTACCCGGTGCATGACAAGGAGCACCTTGCCATGAAGTACGCACTCGCGAAGTTCTGAGTGTATCTACTCGGAAGCAAACCGTTCGTGGTCTACACAGACCACGCGTCACTGCGGACGGCTGTGAAGTCGCCGCACATCTCGCAACGGATGGCGAGATGGCTCTCATTCTTCGCAGAGTATAACTTCCGGGTTGAGTACAAACCCGGAAGACTCAATGTGTCGGCCGACGCGCTCTCGCGTCGACCTGACTACACCACGACTGATACCGACGTCAATGCCATTGACGCCATGCGATCGAGCACCCCAACGTCGTCACTGCGACGTGAAGGTCGCGTACGCGCACGACGCGGACGCGAAGCTCTTGCTGGCCTACGGCTCAGCGCCTTCTGACAAAGCTCGTCAGAAGTTGCCGAAGCATCTTCGTGCTCGTGCACACCGTTATCGGGTGCACGACGGGTTATTACTCTATAGTGCAGTCGACGACAACGCGGGCCGCGTTGTCGTGCCCAACGACCATGACCTGCGACTCAGGATCATGTACGAGTATCACGATGCACCGACTGCGGGGCATCCGGGCCGTGAGAAGACATACCTGCTTCTCACGCGAGACTTCTACTGGGCCCACCAGTACAAATGGGTACGCCAGTACGTCCGTGCTTGCGAGGTTTGTCAACGTGTAAAGCCTGCGCCCTTCGCGCAGGCTCCCTTGCAGTCACTGCCGACTCCGTCGGAGTGTTGGCAGTCCATGTCTTTGGAATTCGTGTTCGGCCTTCCCCCGGACAGCCAGGGGAACACGGGCGTTGTGGTCTTTGTTGACCGCTTCAGCAAGATGGTACATCTTGCTGCGGTACCCGCTGAAGTGACTGCGAAACAGACGGCGCGTCTGTTCGTTGACATGGTGTTCAAACACCATGGCATGCCGATCGACATTGTGTCGGATCGAGACCCGCGCTTCGCTGCACACCTTTGGCAAGAAGTGTTTACACGTCTTGGAAGTCAACTTTCGATGTCGACTGCGGACCATCCGCAGACGGACGGGCAGACCGAGCGCGTGAACCGCGTGCTCGTAGACGTGCTTAAGAGCTATGCTCACTCGTTCCAACACTGGAGCGAGAGCCTGCCGGTGGTGGAGTTCGCCATCAACAACTCGGTGCATGCCTCGACCGGGCATACACCGTTCTACGTGAATGCCATCAGGCACCCACGCTTCCCGAGTCTACTCGGGATGGTGGCTCCTTCCTTAAGTGGGGGAGGATCTACGACTGCAACGCAGCAGCCGCAGAATGCCGCTGACACTTGCACAGTGTCAGCCGCGACTACGCGCAAGAAGAAGAAGAAGAACGCGTCTGTGCAGGGCACAGACGCCGACAAGAGCAAGAAGAAGAAGAAGAACGGGTCTGTGCAGGGCACAGACACCGCGAAGACGAACGCAGAGGCCGGATCTACTGCTAGAAACGAGCTGAACGAGTTCAGCTCGGACGCAATCAACTTAGTTCTCAACAAAAACATTCCTACTTTGACAAAGTGCCTGCCACTCAGGCACTTTGCTGTGAGAAGAGGTCTTCTTGCTGGAGAAGTATCGGAGCTCGTGAAAGAGTCCGATATAGTAATCGCGCCTTTGATTCGTTAACGGATCAAAGTGCTGCTCCTCCGCCACAGCATCATCGTGGATCCCGCTGCATACGTACAGCGGAATTTCATTTGGAGGCACGGTGTTGCCCACACGGTCTGCGATCTCTGACGCAGACGGCATCCACGGATCGCGCGCTGCCTGAGCAGCGCGCGGAGAACTTGAAGACGCCACCTCACGCGGGGAGCTTAAAGCCCCAGCAGCAGAGAGCGGAGTGTCGCTCTCGCCGCGCGAACGCTTGGAGCTCGAAGCGTCCGAGTCGTCTCCTTCACGAGGGCGTCTCGACCCGGCATGCGGGTCGAGACTATCGCTGTCGATAGACTCCTTGCGCTTGCTAGAATAGGCTTCGCCCTCTTCCATCTCTACGTCGTCACTCCCGTAGTCAACGGCGTCGTTGGCTACAGAGGAACTTTCGAGGACAACTTCCGGCTGGGTTGTCCCCGACGCGGCCTTTGCAGCGAGCGCGTCGCGCTTTGCCTGCTGGCGCTCATGGTACTGAGCAACAGATATGTTACCCTCTGTTGCGGCGGCGGTCTTCTTCTGCGGCGAGCTCATTGCGGAATGAGCTCGAGTTTTCTTTCTCCCAACGTGAAGAATTGACGAATGGTCAATTCCCTGATTGACGTGCCGTGACTCGGCGCGTCGAACCTTGAGGGGGGATGGTGTAACAGGGTTACACGCACAAGTGGCTACAGTCACTTGTAACTCTAACAGATACGACGTCTGTTAGAGGTTCGAAAGACTTTCTCGACCTTGGTGTAGACACACCAAAGGCTATATACATTTACGACCACCACGACGGGTGGTCCATAGAGACTTAGGATTCCTATTGGCTGAGAGCAGCATCTCTTAGCCAATGAGCGACATGCATAGCATTGGAATTCTGTCAACCAGCCGTTGGCAGATTCCTATCTTAGAATATTACATTTAGAGGAAGTCAGAAACATAAAACAAAAATAGCAGTTCTCATTTTAACCCAAAAACATTATTTGGATCGTTTATTTAGATTAATCTATACTCGGAGGCCCGAGTATAATTAACTCTAATTTAAACTAAGCTACGCTTCCTCACATACACGCGCACACGTGTAAGCTAAAGTAGTGAGCCAAAGTAGGTCCACTACAGCGGCGGCGATGCAGTTCACCCAGGACGAAGCGCTGGAGCTGCTAGCGCTGCTAGCCTCGTTTGGCGAAGAGACGTTGTGGCTAGCCTGCTACAGGCTGGGTTCTTTGATGTCCCAGAGCGGCCACTAATTCCTGATGTGCGGTTCAACCTTGGCACCTACGGGGACGTTAACTGCGCGCTGGACTTTCGGTTTGACGTGCGTGGTGTTCGGCTACTAGTGCGCCTATTCGCGCTCCCTGCTGTCGTTGTGACGGACAGCAACGATCGTTGTCATGCCGAAGAAGTTGCAGCAGTCATGCTCTACCGGCTCAGTTATCCTCGCCGACTACACGACATGGCTCGCACCTTCGGCCGATCAAGACCTGCACTTAGCCGCATTTTCCTGTGGATGAGTACGCATTGCTTTAACACGAAGTGGGTGGGTTTTGTTAACTTGCTAACGGCGTTGTGCTTTAGTTGACTACGTAGACGCAAGGTATAGCGAGCGCATGCACTTTCATCTCGATCTCGTTCGCAGACAAATAAGCGCCTATTGTGAAGCTATAGAGCGCCGTACCTCTGTGCCTAGCGTCGTCGCATTTCCAGACGGAACAAAGATCGGAATTTGCCGTCCTTCTCCTCGCAAGGTTTTTCGGTCGGAGAATCTACAGCGTCAAGTCTACAGCGGCCATAAGAGATTACACTGTTTCATCTTTCAAGGTAATATAATTTGAGCTTCAACGACTTCGATATTGGCTTTGACTAATTGTATTTTGATAACTGTATTAGGATTGACGGCCCCCGACGGACTATGCATGCATTTTTCGGGCCTTTTGAATGGCGCAGACACGACACGACTGTGTTTACTGCTGGCCGTCTCCTGCAATACTTTCGCGAGGATGCAGATGTATTCGAAGGCAAAGCCATATTTGGCGATCCTGCGTATTCAGTGAGCGGCTTCGTCGTTACCCGCTTTAAGGACGTAGTGCTTTCAACGCATGCGCGAATCTTCAACAAGGAAATGAGTGCAGTGAGGACCGCAGTGGAATGGAACTTCGGAATCATGAAAAGTCTTTGGGCTTTCATTGATTACAAGAAAGATCTAAAGATTCGGCTCAGTCCGGTAGGTAAATTTGTGCGGGTTGCCATACTACTGACAAATTGTCACTGCTGTTATTATGGCGGCAATCAAATTAGTCAGTTCTTTGACTTACCTCCCCCGCCCCTTGAGGACTACTTAGACATAACCAATTAACACAAAATAAAAGCATGAACCAACCACAGTTCTATTTACTTCTTGTTAGCTAAATGCTCGAGTAAGAGAATGAAGCGTTTCTCAATGTCGCGGCGATCTTGGCGCTCTTGTTCCCACTGTTCCCTTCGCATGACAAACTCCTGCTCTTTTTGAGCTTGTAGGATTTCGGCAAGCTTTGCGAATTTGTTCGCTCTTGAGGGGCTCTCGCTTACATTCACAGCATCGTCTTCTCGTGAGCGTTTCAACCTCTCAACAGCGAGACGCCTGATGGCTTCACCTGCACTCTCGTTCGCAGCATCCTTGTCGGCCTTCATCTTCCTCTTAGCCTCCTTCTCTGCCTTGCACTCCTCCAGCCTTAGGATCAGCTCGTCAAGGAGCTCGTCCTTCTCGCTGTGCGTCTCCGTAACACCAGAAAGCCGCTTGGCAGTGCTGTTCTTCTTGTTAGCAGCAGCTACATAAATAATTTTACAAATTCAGAATTGTTAGCAATATATGTTACTTAAAGAGGAGACGATCTGCTTACCGACAAGCGCGTTAACGCGGTTCTGGGCCGTTTCGCGGTGAGATTCTTACGTGAGAAGTCGGCACAAGCCACCAGTGTTTGTGCCAACTTCTCCCAGTACTCCATCACCTTGCCATGTTCCTGCTGGTAGAGTTCGTCCGCGAGAGTCTGCTTTAAAAGCATGACATCTTCCTCTTCGGTGAAGTTCTTGCGCTTGGTTGGTTCTGCCATTGTCGAAGCAAAAGTGACGCTACTGGGGCGCTGATAAGCGTGTTGGCAGTGGATGGATGGAGGCTGAGGGTGGTGGAGAAAGCCACTACATTTGCGACTTCCACCAGATTTTCAAGACGGTGGATAGGGTTTTTGCATGTTTTAAACAGCTTTTTGGGGGGTAAAGGTGATGGAAGCCGCGCACGAAACCTCTCTATTGTGGCTTTCAGATAAGTTCAGTGGTATCAACGACAATCGAAAGCAATGTTGCCGCTTTTCAAGCTATGGGACTACTGAGCACTAGCGAAACGAGAACGACGAAATTCGCGGATCATTGCGCAAGGAACGCGTTTACTAACGTGTATGGATCTTTTCCAGTAGACCCCAAAAGAGGCACCTCAATACAAGTGCGAGGCGACCTATGTAGCCACAATTGGTTCGGGCGCTGCTAACCTGGCATAGGACATTTCGTTAGTTTAATCTATTGTCCCGGCCAGAATTGAAGGGCCCGGAAATTGTAACACCACCATATTTTTAGCAATTGCGAGGGATCGCCTGCTCCGTTTGAAGCAAGTGGGGGCTCAAAATACCCACATAAAGCAAAGGGAGCGGAAGCATGCAGACGCCGCCTCCGCCGCTGGAAGCCCCACCAAAGAGGACGATTGAGCGACATGTTTTGAGCCTCGGTGAGAAGCACATGATCGTGTCCGACAAGGAAATCTAGTCCTGTCGACTACTCCAAAAGTCATATGCTTTCTGAAGATCAACCAATTACAGAATGCTATTTCTCGTAACCCTATCGTGACCTAGCCCACTTGAGCTCATGCTTCTTGGCCGATTCAAACCTTCATGTTTGAGCGCCTATAACGAAACTACGGCTGCGAATTGGACCGTTTTGACCACATTTTTGGAATCTAACGCGTGTGATTTACCCTATATCTAACTATCGCATATGGAAAGTCGTAGACATCATGTTCAAATCGAGGCTTCAAATCGGGCCCTTCTGTGGAGTAGCGCCCTCGCAGAAATCTCGCGAATGCGATCTCGCACAAACTCGGCGCGTCTGGATAGCGGTCGCGCCGAGCAAATTATTCCCGGTTGTTGGAGTAGCGTATCTTCGAAATACAGGCCCAAGTCTTCGCAGGCTTCGGAGTTGGGGGTTCTTGCATTGACGCTTGTTCCTTGTCGTAGGGCGTCGAGCTTTGGGCGTGCGGCGTTATCGGGCCGGCGTTTCCTGGGCGTTATCGGGCCTACGGGGGGGTCTTGTGCACGGCGGTTATCAGGCCAATGCGGTCCTTCGCCTAGGCAGCGCGTTATCGGGCGCCCACCTAAACGGTATACGTTTAACGTGCCTTTGTTCCAGCACGGGTCTGTGGGGGGTGAGCACCCGAACCAGCAAACGACGGGGGGCCGCGATATCGAGGCGGGTCTACTTGCCGGCGCTTGGTGGTTCCCCTGGAACCTCGGAGAAGACGGGAGGTCTTTGTGGTTCAGAGAAATTTCGGGACTGAGTCCTCACCCTATCATATGCCCTAGCTACTGGCTACTCCGTACTACTGCTTGCTAAGCCTATCGTTCTGTGCCTATCCCTACTTCTGTCGTGCTTGCACTGCCGTCCTTCAACCTGATTTGCGTGGCGTAATCAAGATCTTACCTCGACACGTTTTGGTCGGCGCGTTTTGCTCGGCGCGTCTTACTCGGCGCGTCTTGCTCGGCGGGTTTTGCTCGGCGGGGATTAGGGTCGACGCGTTTTGCAGAGACGAGGCGCTGGTCGACAAGTCGGATGATTACGCGTCGAGTTGGACTCAGTCGCTGTGTCTCGCGGCCCATCACCCGCGTCGACTTTCCGTCGACCTCTGCCGCGCGTCGCCCCCATCAATCGCGTCGCGTTTCATCAACTGCGTCGAGTTCATCATCCGCATCCATCAGCATTCGTCTCGGCGCCTTCTTTCACCGACGCCGACGTGCCCGCTTCCTCGCTGGGCACTACACCACACTTCCATTCTGGCCGGGACAATAAGTGAATACATCTCACCTCTGCAGCCAAAAAAAAACTGGCATAGGACATTCTAGACAACTGCTGCTAACTTGGCATAGGACATTTTGTTAGTTTAATCTAAGTGAATACATCTCCCCTCTGCAGCCAAAAAAAACGGCATAGGACATTCTAGACAATCGTGGAAACCGAAGATAAAGTCTGATCATGACCTCCGCTAGGAGGTCTGAGCGAGCAGGACGGGCACTCGCAAATATCATCAATAATGATCATGTGATCTGTGACTTACCTCGAAGTAGTACAGTAAATCACTGCTCTACTGTATATGTAGTGGCATTGGATAAATTTCGCTGCTCACCATCGGTCTATCCATGTTGCCTAGACACGCGTCGAGGCCACGCAGCATCCATACAACGCTGCGTACACCTTTTTCCAAGCAAACTGACCGTTTTTTCAAGCAAAGTGGTTCAAATCATTTTTCGGGAAAAACCTCATATCACTTTTCTCAGGTATTTTCAAGCAAAGTGGTTCTGTCGTAAATCGTTCCCAAGCAAAGTGGTTTCACAATCATCGAGGATTTAGAGCCATTTTGAAGAAGACAAAATGCAGCTTAGAACAGCCTTGTGAATGTATTTGAGGGGTCTATCGTGATCTACGTGACGTGAGCATTCTAACTAAGTTTTTTGCGTCGAAAAATAGCAACTTTTGATTCTTACAGACCAAGCTCAAGACGTGGACTGGTCCGTTTTAGCCCCATATGGTTGGGCAAACCATTTTTGCTTGGGAAACAAACAGCTGTAAACCACTTTGGTTGAAAAATGCCCTTTTTCGTCGCAGTATTATGTTGCGCGAGACCTTCCCGCACCACTTTGCTTGAAAAAACGGTCAGGTTGCTTGGAAAAAGGTGTAGTACAGTCAAACCTGTTTATATGAGGCCCTGTTGGTGACCATCTACTACAATGACTCATATAAAATGGATTCAGTTAAAACAATTATGTGGTGCACGTAAAGAAATCGTGCATAGTTCGCTGCCGCTTTGCCTTCACCGTAGTCTCTCGAACCAAAGCGGTCACGGTCTGTAAAGCTCTTCGTTCTCTGTCAGTCTGCTCTCCGCATTGCAGCAGAAATGCAGCCAGCTCCATGCAGTGTCTCAGAGCAATGGCAGGTTGAACTGCGGGTTCCTGTTCCTCCTCTTCCTCCTAAGCGCTCCGCCAGCTCATGCGCCTTCAGCAGGAGCACGTCGTCCGCCATCGCCGTTTTAGCTTCGTTCTGAAAGAAAAATTCCCTCAGTTCCCGCTCGAACTGAGGGAATTTCACTCGGCGCCGCTTGGTCGCACTCAGGTCGACGTGGCTGAAGTAGGAAGAAGGCAGGTTGCGCAGTCGGGCGAGTGTGGCACGGCTGACCCGGGCCTTGAAAGTTGCGTAGATCCACTCGGCGAGCATGGGGTTGTTCATGCCAGGATTCTGCTTGAGCTTTAGGTGCACTTGGAGCTTTTGTTCTAGCGTCAGACAGGTGCGAGGAGACATGGCGAGCGAAGAAGGCTTGCGGTAGGCGTTGAGTGTTGAGCAGTGGTGCTTTGAAGAGTGTGTGGCCGTGAGCAGTGTGAATCAAATAAACAGGTGAGACCTAATTTGGTCCCCAAAAATGTGACTCATATACCTTGTATGCATATAAACAGAGATCATACAAAAACTAAGTGAAATATTTGGTAGCGACAAAGCCTGCATCAAATAAACGGCATGGCTCAAATAGAGAGGATCATATAAACAGGTTTGACTGTAATCGAGTCCACGCTTTTGATTGCAGCTGTGGTGCTGTACATGTACAGGATGTACTCTCACTTCCAACACCTGTCAAATCTAGTATCCTTAACAATTTGATATCATCTTTAGCAGGGTTCACAATAAATCGACGCCAAGCATTGAGCGGCTCTCAATCAACCGCAAGCCGCCGCCGTCGCGCGCGAAGCTTGCGAGGCTTACGAAGATTCTGAGTGCAGCACAAGGGACGCGGAAACGTGTCTCTTGGGTGCGGAGGTATAGGGGGATGGGGGTGCTGGCAGGTAGGCATCGTCTTCGCCGCAAGAACGGACAGAAGGGCTTTAGGTAGTAGGCAGAGGAGCAGTTAGCCCGCGCCGTGGGCCCCTCGGCCTAGCGGCAAGTAGTGGGGTGAAGTGAGAACATAGGAGTAGAAACGACAGAGGAAGAACTGGTAGATGGAGCCGTGAGAAAGCGCTGGCGTAGATAGTAAACCAGCGTCTATAGCTTCCTACTAGTGCTGCAGCGCAGATAGCATTCAGCGAGTGTGGATGAGCTCAACCACAACAGCTCACTCACAACTTCGTCTCATAGTTAATTTATCGCTTGCGCTATCATTTTATTGGGGTGCTATGGCCGCTGGGGCTCACACCGATGAGCCGGTGATCAACGAACGGAGCGGCGACGTTGGTCGCCACGTCAACTTGGTGCTGGTGCGCTCATACATTCGAGAACTCTAAAGTTCTCTATTGTAATACCTGCTAACTATTTATGTGTGCATGAAAAATACACACCAGCTGGTGTCGGAAGTGGCAGTACTACCTGTACTCACCACAGCGTGTTGATCGCTTCCTCCGTGTTGCTGGAGTGCCATCCAGAGAGTAATTTACCACAATGAACACTTTTTATTGAAATAATCGGGGGCTCTGTGCACTGCGTTGGCCACCACGTTGCGGATGGTTCTTCTCGAAACAATACAGGGCAGGCATGTCCCTACAGCTCTTAAGCAACTTGGAAATTGGACTCGCTGGCGGCGATGATATCGCGTATGGACGCGATTGTGTACTCGACGTCGTCGGGGGTTACGTGCAGGTTCGTGACCGCGCGGATCTCCTCGCCACGCCAGTATCCGCCGAAGACGATGCCCTTCTCCTCCGCAATCCGCTTCACCAGCGTCGCTGTGTCGATCTTGCATTCCGACGAGATCTTAAAGAACAGCATGTTGGTGTCCACGCTGTCGACGTCGATCTCGATGCCAGGAATTGTGGACAGACCGTGCGCCAGCGTCTTCGCGTTCTCGTGGTCCTCCACAAGGCGGTCGAACTGGTGCTCCAGTGCATACAGACCGGCCTCGGCGAGCAGACCCGACTGACGCAGGCCGCCGCCGAGAGACTTGCGTAGCCGCTTGGCATGGTGGATAAACGCTTCCGAACCGGCGAGGATGGAGCCCACAGGGGCGCCCAGACCCTTGCTGAGGCACAGGGACACCGTGTCGGCGCCCTTCACGAGGTCCTCCATGGCAACGCCCGAAGCCACACTGGCATTCGCGAGGCGCGCGCCGTCCACGTGGAGGCTCAGGTTGTGCTCCTTACAGAATTGCTCCACCTCGCGGATGTACGAGAGGGGCAGCACCCGTCCACCGCAGGTGTTGTGTGTGTTTTCGATCTCGACGAGGCTGGTCCGCGGGTAGTGAATGTCGTCGGCGCGGACGGCGCGGGCCATGTCGCTAAGCTTGATGGTGCCGTCCTTCTGGTTGGGGAGCGTTGCAAGGCTGACGCCCATGTACGCTGCGAGTTAACGAAGCAAGCACGAAAGACAAGTCAGCACCCCATCTCAATTGGTAATGCATGTCGACGAATGGAGATGGGGATGGACACTCACCACTGGCGCCGGCGCCCTCGTACGTGAAGATGTGCGACTTGTTGCCGCAGATGACCTCGTCGCCGCGCTGGCAGTGCGTGCCGATGGCGATCAAGTTGGACATGGTGCCACTGCATCAAGGTCAGATAGTCAGTCCACCAAAACTTCAGAAAGCCCGAGAAACTTCACGACTTCAAGTCTGAACTTCAGAAACGTAACGTACGAGGGCACAAACATGGCGTCCTCCTTGCCGAGCATGCTGGCGGCCACCTTCTGGAGCTGCTGCACCGTGGGGTCCAGGCCGTACACGTCGTCGCCGACCTTGGCGGCCGCGATGGCCTTGCGCATGGCGGGCGTCGGACACGTGATGGTGTCCGACATGAAGTTAATGACGGCGCGCTGCAGTTTGGTCATGGTCTTGGCCTCGAGCTGGAGTATCTGAAAATGAAGCGACTGAAGGCTGCACGCTGACGACGGCGGCGGCGCTGGCCTGATGGATGGACGCCTGTGAACGGACCGTTGCAAAATGCTCGCGCCGCCAGGATTTATGCAGAAGTAGTGAAACCATGAGCATGCAGGCTTGCGCTGGTCGCAGCGACATGACGCCGAACCGCCTCGGCTCTGTCTTGGAGCCAAGCACCAGACCACAGTAGACAGTCGAAGAGCACCATCCAGAACGAACTTCTCCCCATCGGTAGGTTTATTTCCCATAGAATCCACGAGAGAGAGACCACTTGTACAGCGCAGTGGCAAAAGATAACCACCTGGCGTTTGCGTGTGCGAGTGCTTAGGCTAAGATTTCGGTGACATACAAACTTCGAGACAACGGCACCCATGCAGGGGAAGATTCTCGTGGCGGACCACGTCGTGTGATCGATAGCCGGAACTCGGAACGTTCATGACATGAACATGAACTTCATGTGGTGCTGCTTAGGTCGGCGCCTCGACATGTGGCTCTGCAGGGTGAGATGCTTTACTCCAGGACCTCGTCGCGCTTGCACCACTTCAGGGTCTTCATAGTTGTCGAAGGCGCGTCGCAGGCCGGCAGGACACGCCCAATCAAGTTCCGGTGCCCGCGTCCGTCATTTTCTCGTCATCAAGGCGCGCGCATCATCCAGCTCCGGGCTCAGCTCAGCAGGCCGCGGATCGCCGCCACCGTGTCCTCGACGTCCTGGCCCGAAATGTGCAGATTGGTGACCGCGCGCACCCGGTTGCCGTCGGCGTAGGCGCCGACGAGCACACCCTTCTCGGTCTTGAGCTTGTGCACCAGCGTGGTCGCGTCCAGCTTGGCGTCGGGTGCCAGCCTGAAGAAGACGATGTTCGTGTCGACTGTGTCGGGGTCGATCTCGACTCCTGGGATGGTGGAGATGCCGTGCGCGAGCGCCTTCGCATTCACGTGGTCATCAACGAGGCGGTCGAACTGGTTCTCGAGCGCGTAGAGCCCCGCGGACGCGATGATGCCGGCCTGGCGCATTCCGCCGCCAAGCGACTTGCGGAGCCTCATGGCGTGGTGGATGAACTCCTCGGACCCGGCCAGGATGGAGCCCACAGGAGCTCCCAGCCCCTTGCTCAGACAGAGCGAGACCGAGTCGGCGCCACGGACCAGCTCGTCCATAGGGATGCCCGACGCCACGCTGGCGTTCGCTAGTCTCGCGCCGTCCACGTGGAGTCGCAAGTTGCGCTCATGGCAGAACTTCTCGACGTCTCGGATGTACGACAGGGGCAGGACGCGGCCTCCGCAAGAGTTCTGCGTGTTCTCGATCTCCACGAGCCTCGTGCGCGGGTAGTGCGGGTCGTCGTCGCGGACGGCGTTGTTGATGTCCGTCAGGTCGAGTGTTCCGTCCGGCTGGTTGGGCACGGTGTGCAGGCTCACTCCCATGTAGGCTGAGAGGTTCAGAGAAGACAGAGAGACGAAGCAGCTCAGTCAGCATCATAGTCATGAGTCGGCTGGCAGCGTAGCTTGCTCACCGTTGGCTCCGCCCCCTTCGTAGAGGAAGATGTGGGCCTTGTCGCCGCAGATGGCCTCATCTCCTCGGCGGCAGTGCGTGCCGATGGCGATGAGGTTCGACATGGTGCCACTACACGCAGAAACACACACAAACACACAAGAGACGTCAGAGCCAAGCACCCATTTGCGCAACTCGCGCGTCTCCGGACGTACGAAGGCACATAGAGCGCTGCCGCCTTGCCCAGGCGCTCGGCCGCCACCTTCTCCAGCCGGTTGACGGACGGGTCCGCGCCGAAGACGGCGTCGCCCACCTCCGCGGCCGCGATCACCTGGCGCATGGCCGCGCTGGGGCACGTCACGGTGTCGGACAGGAAGTTCACGGCGGCGCGCTGCATTTCGCTCGGTCGGTCTCCGCTACGTTTGACTTGATTTGAATATGGGCCGAGCCGTTTCGAACAGTTGCGGGAAGATCGCCGCAGGACCCCACGTTGAGTATACAGTTGAAGCTTGCCGCACATCAAGTGCGTGGCGAGCTTCCAGCGCGGTCAACAGTTTCTATTTTGCTCGCTCGATCGCTGGAGGATAATGCGATCGCTACACTGTGCGCGTCCCGCCTAACATCTAGCTGGGTCGACAATCAATCGCAAGTCCCTGGACCCTCAGAATTCGACAGCTCGGGTTTGTTCTGCAAGAACCGTCAAGTTGTTGCAAGGTCTTGAGGTTCTTGCACGCTCCTGGGGAAATGAAAGCGCGGCAAAGGCAGAGATGTGTTTGTTGTGAACTGAGGTAAGATGGTATATTTTCTAAGAAGAAACGCTGCCTTATAATACACGCTAGCAAAATGGTATCAAGTATCCTAATATCCCGGCTCGCAGCGCCCACAGACAAGGGGCGACGGCGGGCAAGGCTTGCGAGGGCACTTGACGTTACTTGTACATCGAAGGAAGCTTTCTTCCGACTCTCCGCGCTACGAAAAATAGAGAAACGCCACGGGTCCTGTCCGTCTGCAAAAGACACTACGGCCGACGTCACGACACGCTTGCTCATCGCTCCAAGTCTTCTAATGGCGGACAACTGCTTGCCATCTTCGTGCCGCCTGTCGATTACCAGGCGCTGTTGTCCTCGCTGAAGCCTCCGCCGCGAGAACCACCGCCGCGGCTGCCGCCACCGCTGAAGCCGCCGCCACCGTAGCCACCGCCGCCGCCGCCGTAGCCGCCACCGTAGCCGCCTCCGAAGCCGCCGCTACTGCCACGAGAGCCGCCGCCGCCTCCGCCGCGCTCCTCGTTACGGAAGTCCCTAGCACCGAAGCGGGAGCTGCCACGGCCGCCACGGCCGCTGCGACCACGACCGCCGCCTCCGCCGCGGTAGCCGCTGTTGGCCATCTGGTCCAGGAACGCAGGGATCTCCTGACCGTTCTCAGCCATCAGCTCGTACATCTCGCGAGCGATGTTGCGGTTCTTCTCGTTCATCATGGAGAGAGCGTTGCCAACGTTACCCACACGGCCCGTACGACCGATACGGTGCACGTAGTCGTCGATATTGTTGGGCAGGTCAAAGTTGATGACCTGGGTCACACCGTCGATGTCAAGACCACGGGCAGCCACGTCCGTAGCCACCAGCACGGGCGTGCGGCCCGACTTGAAGCTGGCCAGGGCCTGCTCACGCTCGCGCTGCGAGCGGTCACCGTGGATCGACGTGGCCGGGAAACCCTCGCGGCACAGCATGTCCTCCAGGAAGTCGGCGCCACGCTTCGTCTCGACGAACACCAGGATCAGGCCGTCCTGCACCTGGTTCAGGAAACGCACCAGGTAGTCCTCCTTGTCGTACTGCTCAATGTACTCCACCGTCTGCTTCACATCCTTCGAGGCCGAACCCACACGGCCGACCGTCAGAAAAATGTAGTCGCGCAGGAAGTCGGACGCGAGGCGCTGGATCTCACGCGGGAACGTGGCACTGAACATGAAGGTCTGACGCTCACGCGGCATGTCCTCCTGCTCGACAATGCGGCGGATCTGGGGCTCGAAACCCATGTCAAGCATGCGGTCAGCCTCATCCAGAATCAGGAAGCGGATGCACGCCAGCGAGATGCGGCCACGCTCCATCAGGTCGACGAGACGGCCAGGAGTAGCCACAAGCAGGTCGCAACCGCGCTCCAGCTCACGCAGTTGGCGGCCGACCTCGGCACCACCGTAGATGACGACGGGGGCGATACCCGTGCAGTAGCAAAACTTCTTGGCCTCGTCGTGGATCTGCGACGCCAGCTCACGCGTGGGGGACAGCACAAGGGCCGACGGGAAAATCTTGCGCGAGCGGCCGTGGCCGACCTCGGGCGGGGGCGTGCCGCCCACGCGCAGCATGGCCGCGAGCGTGGGGAACAGGAAACCGCCCGTCTTACCGGAGCCGGTCTGGGCACAGGCCATCATGTCACGGCCGGCCAGACCGATCGGGATCGAGTACTTCTGCACGGGGGTGGGCTTGCTGTACTTGCACAGCTCCAGGTTGCGGATGACCTCGGGGCCCAACTCGGTGGCCGAGAACTCCGACACCGGGTCGGGCACGTTCTCGCCGCTCGTCTCGACGGGGATGTCGTCGTACTTGTCGAAGTTGATGCCGGACGACTTGGCGTCACCGAAAAGCTCGCGCTCCAGGCGCTCGTTGGGACGCAGGTCGCCGTGGTAGCCGACCTCGTTCACGCGCGCGGCGCCGCCGCCACGGCCGTAGCCGCCGCCGCCACCTCCGCCACCTCCGCCGTAGCCACCACCGTAGCCGCCACGACGGTCGTCGCCGCCGTAGCCCCCGCGGCGGTCGTCGCGACGGTCCGACTCGAAGCCGGCCCAGCGCGAGTTAGTGCGGGGCTCGCTACGCTCACGGGAGCCGTAGCGCTCGCGCGAGCCTCCGCGACGGTCGTTGCCGCCGCCGTAGCCGCCGCGGCGGTCCTCGATGCCTCCGCGACGGTCGTCGTCGCCACGGCCGCGGTCACCGCCGCCGCTTCCGCGCATATGCGGCGGCACGTATGTAGATCTTCCTGTGAGGGGGCAATATCACAAACAAGAGAGCGGCCACGTCAGTCAAAGATTATTCTTCCATAGCGAGGGCAATGATGCACGCGGCGCGACGGCGCTGGCACGAGAAGATGCGCGCGCGAGAGGCGCATCTTCCTGGTGTGCTGCGTGTGCGCGCGCCGCTGCTGGACGAGTCGTGAAGACGCACCTCCTTCCGCCATATTTGTTGCTCCTTCTTCTTCTTGGGGCTTCTTGCTCACAAAAGTGAATGGGGGGTCGCTATCGCCTCAGCGCCATTCAATTTTCAAGTGCCACAAGGAGAGCGCGCATTGGACGATAAGGACGTCATTTGGACCAATCCAACGGCCGGAAACGACATGTCGCAGAGCTACTACCACCGGGCGGTACACAAAAAGATACCGAATGATACAGCCTCGCGCCAGCAAGGTATCCGCTGCCTGCTGGTACCTCGCGGGTGTCGTTCTCTCCCTTTGCGAGCGTCTGGCAGCTCATGACATGGGCCACCGCGGCCCTGATGGCTGCGAATTGGTTGGTGCCAAGCCTCCCACCGCCTGGTTTCTCAACAATCCATCCACGCTGCCAAACCGCCCCCCGAAACCACCTGCCTATCAATAGCCGCGCTTCCGGCGGTTGGCGCACCTGTTACATGTTGCATGTTGAAGTGTTCCGATTGGCACTCCCAATCCATTCCACACTCGAGTTGAAGTGAAGTGAAGTACTGTAGTCATGCACAGACTGGGCGCTGGCAGTAGCAACCAAGATGAAGCCGAGTCGCGGCGGGCGTCTGCGCGGCCCAGCGCGCGGGAGATCACCGTCGAGGTGCTGCTGAACGCCACCAAGCTCAGCGTGGGCAAGCACGAAAACCTCGGCCACTACCTCAAGCGGGTCACGCACTTGGTGCTGAACGGCGACGCCAGCAAGGCCTTGTTGTCGAAAGGCGGCGGCGATGGCCATAGTCATAGCGGGGCCATCCGCAAGATCCAGAACCTGCACCACTGCCCCAACTTGAAGGTGCTCTACCTCTACGACAACGAGGTCGAAGTCATCGAGAACCTCGATGCGGTGCCGCAGCTCACGCACCTGCACCTGCAAGGCAACTCTCTGTGTCGAATCGAGAACCTGGAGTCGCTGAGGCTGCTGGAGAAGCTGTACCTGGAGAAGAACGCCATCTCGAGACTGGAGGGCTTGGCCGGCTGCTTCCGACTGCAGGAGCTCTATCTGGCCAACCAACGCGTGCCCGAGGACACATTCTTCTCGTTCGAAGAGGAAACGCTGCGGACCTTGGCGGTAGAGTTTGCTGCTTACGGCTGTATGCTCATGTTCCCCTTAGTTTGACCTGACTGTCGTGCCTATCTATTGTCGCCACTGCAGGGATCTCTGCGAGTACTTGACTTGTTTAATTGTCGCGTGGCCTCCACCAAGCCGCTTGCATTGCTACGCAGCCTAGAGCAGCTTGATCTGTCAAAGAACCTCATTGAAGAGCTGGAGGATGTCTTCGCATTAGTCGGCGGAGTTACATCGCTAGTGGAGCTGGATCTCCGGGGCAACCCAGTCACTGGAACAACAAAGTACCGAGAGAAGACGATAACTTTCTCGTCTGCGCGCTTGAGTAAGCTACATGTACATTGTTGTGTGCGATTTCCGGAGCACTATGCTAATTGCTGTCTTCTTCCGATTCATATAGCGTTGCTGGACAAGAAAGATGTGGACCCGAATCAGAGGCGCATGATGCAGTCGCACCTCGCCCACAAATACAGGTATGAGAGCAAGCGTAACTAGAGAACTTCGATGTCTTACCTGCTGCCGTGGCAACCTGTTGCAGGAAACGCATTGAGCCGGCAAGTGCGAATTCTCGTCGTCAGAGTCCTGAAGAGGGCCGCACCAGTGGGCTCAGCGAGTCTACGCGGATGCTGAAGCATGGCGCGACCGTGCACCAGCTCCGCAGCATGCAGTTCACAGCGTCTCACGCAAAATTCCGTTCCGAGAGGGGTGGTCTGGGTGTTGCTGGTGCGTCTTGCAGCCCCAGTAGCACGGCGTTGGTGAAGGCAAGCAACAACAACAGCAAATACAATTAAGGCTTTCGCCGTAGAACTATCAGTATGGGTAAGAAGACAAGCGGAAGGCGAATACGAAGTGGGCAAAACACGTGAGGTTGTGTCTTCAGTCGGTTTAGTTCTTCTTCAAAAGGCCCACCGCCAGCACGGAGGCCACGCCCACGGCGACACCGGCCGCGAGACCCAGCACAACCTGCTGCTGGTCCTTCGAGAGCGTGCACGTGGTAGGCTTCTTGGTGAACTGCGGGTTGGAGCGCGGGTTCTCGCGGAACTCGGCGATGAGCACGGCGTTCAGCGCGGCACCGCGCAGCAGCTGGTCGCCCGACACGAACAGCTCCAGGCCGTGGTCGCCGAAGACCAGGCTCTTGCGCAGCCGGCCAGCTTCGATGTTGAACTTCTTGGTGGCGTTCTTGGGCATGGGGTACAGCAGCTTCTCGGGCTCGTCCACGAGGTCCACGCCGTCGGCCTCGGCCAGCAGCTCGCGGGCGCGGGCGATGTCCACGGGCTTGACGGTCTCGATGGTGAGCGCCTCCGAGTGCGCGCGCATGATGGGGATGCGCGCGGCCGTGCAGCTCACGGCGAGGTCGGGCTCGTCGAAGATCTTGCGCGTCTCCCACGTGACCTTCATCTCCTCCTTGGTGTAGCCGTTCTCCTGGAACTTGTCGATGTGCGGGATGAGGTTGAAGGGCAGCGGGTACGAGAACACCTTGTTGCTCACGGGCTCGTCGGCCAGGAAGGCCTTGGCGCCGTCGCGCAGCTCGTCCATGCCGGCGGCGCCGGCGCCGCTAGCGGCCTGGTACGTGGACACGATGAGCTTCTTGATGCCGAACTCGCAGTGCAGCGGCCAGAGCGCCATGGCGGCGATGGCCGTGGTGCAGTTGGGGTTGGCGATGAGCTTGGGCTGCGGCTGGCCGTTCTTGGGCAGCAGCACGTGGCCGTTGATCTCCGGGATCACGAGCGGCGTCTCCGGGTCGCGGCGGAAGGCCGACGAGTTGTCGATGACCACGGGGCCGTTGGGCACGGCCGCCAGCTCCTTGGCGTACTGCAGCGAGAAGTCGCCCGACACGGCCAGGAACACGTAGTCCAGCTTGGCCGCCTTCTCCACCGAGAAGAGCGAGATGGTCACCTCGCCGAAGGGCGTGGCCACCTTCTTGCCGGCCGAGCGCGCCGACGCGAACAGCTCCAGCTGCTTCACCGGGAACTTGTGCGCGGCCAACACCGAGATGATCTCGATGCCCACGGCGCCCGTGGCGCCGCAGATGCCGACCGTCTTGCCGTTGGGCGTCGTCATGCTATCAACTGAGTGGAAGCGCTGGCTGCTGATGCGATTGTGACCTGTGGATGGAGGATGCCTGTTTGGCCAACGCCCTTAAATTAATCTTGTGATGGGTGACGCGCAGCTGTGACGCGTCGGGTGGTACTGGTGAGGTACACCACACAATAGTATGTAAGCCACACATGCGCCTGCCGTCCTTGAAGTTCACGACAAGCTCACGTCGGGTTTTCAACAATCCGCGATCCGCTACGGTCTCCATAACCCTTAGCGACCCAAAGACGACGATGCTGGCTGCTACCGCGAGATCCACGCTGCTGTGCGCGCCGCACATGGGCGCTTCACTGGCGGCGCGCGCGCTGTCGTCGGCGGGCGAGCCGCTGGTGCTCGTGGAGAAGAAGGACAAGTACGCGGTCGTGCGCTTGAACCGCCCGCCCGTCAACTCGCTCAACACAGCGGTGCGTCGTCAGGAGGAAGCGACCGAAGGAAGCCGGTCGTTCCAGAATTCTCAGTATGAACTGACAGTGCCCTCTATTGACTGTGCTTACTGCAGCTGATCCAAGAACTGGACGCGACCATCAAGAAGCTCGAAGACGACAAAACCGTGCGGTACGGAGGCGCCTCCTTCCTCCCTCCCTTGAGCATACTTGTATACTGACAGAAACTTATGTATCCTTTCATTGTAGGGGCATCATCCTGGCGTCGTCCAACCAAAAGGTCTTCTCCGCGGGTCTGGACATCATGGAGATGTACCAACCGCAGGTAAATGAATCATGATTGGAACACCAACATGCAACAGGATTCTAACCTCTTTGTCAATCTACACAATGAACGCATTATTTGACCACAGCCAGTCAAGATCACCAAGTTCTGGACGTCTCTCCAGGATCTGTACCTGCGTCTGTACACGACGCGGCTGGCCGCCGTCGCCGCCATTGAAGGCCACAGCCCCGCGGGCGGCTGCTTGCTGGCCATGTGCTGCGACTACCGCATCATGACCAGTGGCAAGCCCATGATCGGCCTCAACGAGACGCAGTTGGGCATCGTCGCCCCCACGTGGTTCCGTGACACGTTTGTCAACACCATCGGCCACCGTGAGGCCGAGAAGATGCTCGGACTGGGACTGCAGGTGGATGCATCGAAGGCCAAAGCGATTGGCTTGGTGGACGAGGCTGTGGCGCTTGAGGAGGTGTTCCCTCGCGCTGAGGCCGCGATGGCCAAGTGGCTCGCCATTCCGGGTTCGTCGAGAACTGTTCGTATTCTTGTCATGGTGCAATGTGCAGCTAACTGTAAGTTGTTTTTTGTTCAAGACATGGCACGGGTGAAGACCAAGCTGCTGATGCGCCAAGACACGGCGGATCGACTGTTGGCTACCCGTGAAAAGGACCTGGAGGCGTTCACGGACTTTGCGCAGACAGACAAGGTGCAGAAATCGCTCGGCGCGTACCTTGCTTCTCTTAAGAAGAAGTAGAGGGCCAAAGAGTGAGATGTTGGGCTGCGGTGGTGAGACCAGGGACAGCACTCTCTTGACTAAAGCAACTACTATTTCCTGCAAGCCTGAACATACAACCTGTTTGAGTTTCATTTTGTTGTGGCTGCATTCAGGTATCGGATACAGTCAGTATGTCTTCAGCTGCATGCTTCAGCTTCGTGATTCCTCCCGTAGCGACGTCTCTGCAGACATGTGAGAGCACAGCCCGAGATGTCAGAGGAATTGTCGGCCCGACCAGCAGTATCCGTCGGATGCCTCCGCGAGGCAAGTGCCCAGGTGTCAACTGCTGCAAGCACAAATTACGAGAATTTCAGAGTACGAACGTACATCGCGGCCGAGTACCTTAAGTAAATAATTAATCACGCGCAGATGGAAGAGAAAGCGCTCCGACATGTGCAAACCCCGATAAAACACCAGCAGCAGCACAGCTTCACTTGAGTCCATTTCGACGGTGGTTGATCCCCAACGAAGAGAAATCCGTGATTGGATTAGTACAACAAATCAGGGTATTGATTGACTCCAGAGTCGGCAGAAACGATAAAACACCGTTGACACCTTCAGCAGACCCCGCAGTTGCCACGCCCAACTGAGAGAAGCTGTACCACACACAAATCAAGTGCGGCATTATCTTTAACCTCGTCCTAGTTTGATAAGTTCACAACAAAGTGTGATGTATTGGCCATAATGCCCTTAACTGCAGTAATAACTACATGTAGTAATTAACGATTATAATAATCGTTGATAACCACTCCCCGAGCATGGATAACACCCGCTTCGGTTCATCATGATGCTCCGGGAGCGCTAGATTACATGAAGCTGTTGTACCAACCCGAAGCAGTGCGGCGACAATCTTCAGCTGCCAGTCGACGCCGTCACTCTCGACAAGCCAATTCGCGGCGAGTGCGATGGGTGGGCGATACCCAATACGCTTCGGAAAATGCCGCCAACCCTGAACGATCCAGGGTAGCAGGAAATCAATTCCTTGGTGTCCAAATGAGATGCCACCGCCTCAACAAAAAGGAGATACCCGTGGAGCTGCAAATGCTGTGCATCTAGCGGATATCGAGCGCTACAACATCATGAAATACCGCCTTGGGCCAAGGGTTTGCGTGAAGGCCTTTTAGGGATCTAACTGCATACCAAACCAGCTCATTGGGTTAGCCACTTGCACGCAACTAGTAAGTAGTATCTACAAATCGTTTTTCACGAGGCCACAAGCCGAGGCGATGACGTTGTGCTTGTTGCACAGTCTCCGGCACAGATAGTGTATTACGTCTGAATCACAGAAGGTGATCAGTGGATCTCTTAGTTGTACTTCCCTCCTCGAACCATCCTGTTCTCCCAGAACTTTTCGTAGCTCTTGAAGAATCTGGGGAAATTCTCCTTCACCCACTCCGGACTTTGTTCGTGAAAATCCAAACGTTGTATTGGGACAAACGTCCGAACTTGTTGTCGAATCTCTTGATCAGTGGAGGCAGCTTCTTCGATAGGGAGGACACGCTTTCCAGCACGGACGGGACCTTCTCCAAGCCAAGAGCTCTCTCCTCGTCCTCTTCGCCGGTTTCTCTCTTTCGCAGCGAGCGGCCAGTGGGGCTCAAGTTATCCTTGACGAATGATACCTACTGAAGTACTTCTGAACGCGCTTCCCCCTCCAGTACTATGCACTAACACAACTCGAAGGACAAGTCGGCAGTGATATCCATCGGATTGTTCAGAAAGCGGAAGCTTTCGATCGAGCAAGTACAGTGCACTACATGCACTTGCAACTTCTGATGCGAAAATATACTGCAAGTACTTGCTTGACAAAGTCAGCGTCATCCCTTAAACCGCCTATTGAAGTTAATGCGCACCCAAGGCGTTCATGACCCTAGTGGTGGTCGAACATCTCCTGAAACACACTCACGTAAACGCTGATGCCGTGCAGGAAAGTATCCTTCGCCAGACCCTCATTGTGCTCGTGCAGCAGAATCTCGGTTCGCTTCATGGGCGAGAATCCAATTACTGGGACGCCCACCTTGCGCAGAAAGCGACTGTCCGTAGCCGCTGGAAAAATCTCCGTCTCCAGCTTTTCGCCAATGCCGGCGCATGCTTTCTGGAAAAGTTGCCACCACACGTTGTCGGCGTCCAGAGAGGTGACGTAGTGCTCGTGCATTGGGCTCGTCCACGGCGCAAACTCCCACGAAACGCCCTCGGCAGCGCACCATTTGTCCAGCTTCGCCTTCATCGCCTTCAGATCCATTCCAGGCGAAACCCGAATGTCAAAACCGGCGATGGCTTCCGTTGGAATCACATTGAGTGCATGAGTCTTGCCCCCGTCTTGCGAGACCCCGCTCTGCAGCGCCGTGATATTGACAGTCGTCACGTCGCCCAGCTTTTTCTTCTTCATGTCGCCGTGCTTGCAGCCGCAATCAGCACCAAGCTGCTTCTCCTGCTCGTCACGGAACGCGAGTGCCTTGTTGCAGATGTCGATGATCTTTGAGGTGGCCGTGTTCTTGATGAACCTGCTGCCATGACCCGTCGGACCTTCAGCTTTGACGTACACCCACCACGGAGACCGCTCACCGTAGAATACAGTGAACACGTCGCCAGGGTTGGCCAGTCCCTCGTCAAACGCGAAAGCAACAGGCATAATGGCCTTGAACTGCTCGCTCTCCAGAAAGTTCCCCATTCCCTCAGCGCCGCCAATCTCTTCATCCGGAACGAAGAGCAGGTAAATGTTGCGCTTGGGCTTGAATCCCGACGACTTGAGCGTGTGCACTGCTTCCACGTACTGAATGCAGACACTCTTCATGTCCTGCGTGCCACGACCGTAAATGCGACCGTCATCCAGAACTTTCGCCTAACCAAGCAACACATCCACCAGTGTTACATTACAACCTGCACTCTTCTTACAAAAAACAAAAGTTCTCACTTCGAATGGATCAAACTGCCAGTGCTCGGGCATCGCCGGCACCACATCATAGTGCGAGTTCAGGATAATCCCCGGAAGTGTCGGGTCTTCACCCTTCCAGGTCGCCTGAAGGAAGGAAAGAAGAAGAAGAACAACATAAGCTCCAAACCTCAGCTCCCGCACCTGCAGCTTTTTACGTACCAGAACTACCGGTTTGTTCTCCACCGGCGAGAAAACTTGCACGGGGAGACCCACTGCCACATCGATATAGTATTATGATAAATATACGAACACTACATGTAGAAACATCTATCCATTGAGCAACGTACGCTCTCCCAGATACCTACGCAGCCATTCCGCACACTGCAAGCGACGCACACACGTTGCAACAACCAGCCGTTAATGAACCTTCTCTCCACCCCCCGCAATGCAGCCCCCTCACCTCGTTGTAGCTGCCGTTGGGCCCCTCGGAGCTCACGGTGCGCAGTCGCAGGAGCTCCAGGAACCTCTCGACCGGGTCCTTCCACGCCATGGTCGTCAAACGATTGAATGAACTTCAAGAGCGGGTGGGAAACCTCTCTACAAGAACAGAGAAAATGAGCAATTTTCACGACATCTTCCTGTACAAGAACACTTGACCGATGGAGGATACCCGCCGTGCCATCCGCCAGGGCCGGCTCCTGGCGGGCGAGGGGCTCTACGCGCACGCGCTGGACACTTGGAAGGCGGCGCTGAGCGGCGCATACTCGCAGCAAGACTACGCCGGACTGTTCGTGCTGTCGTGCAACGTGGGCGAGGCCTGCGTGGAGCTCGCGGCGCAGTCGAAGAACGGCGTCAATGCAGCGAAGCAGCTGCAGGAGGGTCAGGAGAGTCTGGACTACGCGCTGCAAGTGGTGGAGCAATGCTCGCTGCGGAATGTGCTGGGAGGGTACAGAGCGTTGTATCGAGGCGTGCGGCGAGCTGAGGCACTGACGAGGAAGGCGGCGGAGCTGATGGACAAGTTGCGCCAGGCGGAGGTGGAGGAGACGAAGAAGAAGAAGAAGAAGGAGGTGGTGGTGGAGTGCACGACTTGTGGAGAAGCTGGTGGGGTGGTGGTGCTGGACGAGAATGACGGATGCTACTACTGCAAAATGTGCTACGACGAGTACTATACTGCTGAAGAAGTTGATGCAGTGAAAAAGGAACGCATGGAGGTCGGTGACACAGATGAGGAGGAGTCCGTTGCTGTTAGAGACGTCGCTGAGGTGGAATCTGGCGTGGAAGATGACCTTGGCGGCGAAGACATTGAGGTTGAGATCGATGCCGCGGCTAAAGGCGGTGTGGAGATTGAGGTGGCTACAGTACCAGAGCCGTCTGCAGTTTTATCGCCTGCGACGAACGGGGCACAGGACGAGAAAAGGCAGGATCGAGTCCGATATGAGCGCGTGGAGCTAGGGTCGCTGGCTGACTTCCTGGCAGGTAAGCTTCGCGTGGAGAATAACGCCGAGCAGATCGAGACGCAGCGCTCGGACCACACAGCCGACGTAGCGGAGCTGTTGACGCCCATGCCTGCTGATACTAACCCGCCTGATGAAGGAGTGCCTGACCACGACGCGCTCGCCAAAGATGAAGATCACACCGCTGATACCAGCCTGCCCGAATCGGATTCAGCGTGCGAAGAAGATCCGAGGTCGGACGAGGATGCAGCAGCTGTCGCTGTCGCTGCAGTCCCCACCAAACTCGAGTACTCCATCGCGGAGCTGCTAGAGCTCCGAAAGCAGTCCCCCGCCGCAGTTCCTGTTGTTCTCCTGTCCTCCCCCGTCTTCGACGACGGCACCGCGCCACCCCCTGCCCGAAACAAGTCCACCAACTCAAACTCGCGGAAGAAGTCCAGCGCCAAGAAGACGGCGAGGTAAGCAAGCAACTGGAGCGGACAACAGCCGCACTCAACTCACTAATGGGTCCGGTTCGTGCCCGTGCCCTCCACTTGGCAGATCAGCAGTCGCGTCTAGGCAGAGCAAGGCAGACGCCGCTGACCAAGTGGACGACGACACGGATTCGATCTCGCCGCTGCCAACGCTGGACCTGTGCAACGTGATGCGCGCGGCGCTCCAGGAGCAGCGGGACGGCGCCGATCCCCATTGCAGCAGCTCTGGGATACTGGAGACAGCCCTCTATACCTCGGCCCATGTCCGCCTTGAAGCAGAGCGGCCTGATAACGGACTATGATCGAGCAGTCCCATGTTGCAGCCAATCAATCGATTCCGTGACCAGTCCTTTAATGCGGCCGTTACAGAAAACCGTCGGCTGCCACCTCGAATATTCGTATATCGCAGGTTATTGCTCTCGACCGTCGCATAAGATACAAATGTCAAGTATAACTGAACCAACGCAAGTGTACCTTCATTCCCAAATTATCAAACACGGAAGGGTCTCAGCGCGCTCATTCATCGCGTATCGCAGGTAAAAGTGCGACGCGAGTGTTGGTCCCTCCTCGCACCACTCACCCCACACACAAAGAACGAAGCGCGCACGGACGAAAGGCAAAGGCAAGAGCGAACTCGGCACCACGTAACCTTCTTCTCCAGACGCTGCCATGGGGGACCACCACCAAGAGGCGTCGAGCGCCGAGCTCACGCGCAGCTTCCTGAGCTTCCGCATGCTCAAGGAGGCGCTGGAGTCCACGAACATCAAGGACGACGAGGAGGTGAGTGTGTGCGCGCCTTTACCCCGCATTGTCAGTGGTGTTAAATTTAACACCACTTAAACGCGGCAGCCATTTCCTCTTACCGGCAACACTTAAAGGTTAGGTGGTGCTAACCAAGGTACTTGCATGCTGTGTTGCCATGTACTGTATCTCAGGCCGTCATGGTCACGCGCATGTGCGTGGACCCGCGCCACGTCGAGGAGTTCGAGCGCCTGCTGCGCATGATTCTTAAGACCACACACACCGTGGGCCACGTGTCCACGTGCGTGGTGCGGCCTCCGCCCGGAGAGTTCACCTACACGTCGATTGTACGTTTCTCTCTATCCATGCAACTGCAACTTTTGTATAAGATAGTGCTAACCAGATACATGGTGCTAACTTATTCTTGCAGGTAAAATACTCGGGGCTGCAGGCAATGCGGCAGATTTACCCGTCCACAGTGGAGAATGGCGTGGACTTTTACAAACTATTGGCAGCCCGTGATTCGCTGCTGCTGGAGCCGCCGACGTACCAGATTGAAGCAGGTTTCGGCACGTGGATCGAGTCGGACGGCAACACGAAGCCCATGAGAGGCGACGACCCCGAAGAAGACGCTAATCTGGTGTATCAGAGCGTCCCTGGACCTTGTTGCAATGATTCGTGCGAGAACCCGCACGGCCTGAACGTCCGTGCGTCGTTCGTGGCCCCCACCAAGAATTTCCAGCTCTTCCGACCACGCTACCAGCGTAACAACAAGAAAGGAGGCCAGAAGAACTTGCGGTGCTTCCCGTGCTGTCGCAACGGGCGCCACGTGAGCTCCGGCTTCTGCGGAGACTCGATCCGTGTGCACGTGGCTGTGAGTCGAGTGACAGAGTCGGGAGGTGTGAAGATTTGCCCCATTCAGACAACGCGTCCGGCTGTGCTGGCCTTCGCGCGGTTCCTGAACTTGGAGGGCACATTCGACCAGACAGTGTCAGGGCCGGAGGTGTTTCCTGGGCAGACGATCGAGAAGACGGACGTGCTGGCCTGGGTGCGTGATAAGGAGCACCCGATGAACCCGCTGTTCCCGGGAATTCTACGCGGTGCAGCCATGGAGACCTCGTCGCAGTCGGCGATTTTTGAATTCAATGCGGAGTGCAAGGCGTGGCATTACGGATGGACGGCCCCGCGTGGGCAGGGACTCTCCGGTAGCGATGCTCAGCACGTGCTGGAAGTGCTGTTCATGAAGCCCATGGGGTCGTACATGTACTGCCTCGAGCGTCTACGCTCGGACGGATTTTCTATCTACTCCAGCCGAAGAGCCAGCCATGCCGTGACTATTAAACCCGAGGTGGAAGCTTTCGAGAACCAGGAGACCGTGGACGACAGAAATCTCAAGCGAAAGCGCACAGTGCGTGCAGAGGTAGCCTCGCCTTCAGTAGGTGCATTAATGCCGCCGACACCAGCCTCGCCGGCGTCGACGGTTGTGTCAAGCTGTGCTGCCGATTCGCCGATTGTATCCCCCTCCAAGCAAGACATGACATATGCCCGCCGCCCGAGCGCTGCACGTGTGCCGGCGCCTCCAACGTCCACTGGTTTTGTGGATCTTTCATCACCGATGACAGACGTGCCTCCGTTCAAGATGGAGAACATTTTTGGCTCGGTATCTTCTCCAATGGCGGTTTGTCCTCCGACATCCTCTGTTCTTGTGGACAGTGCGTCATCGGGTTTCGACTACCGTGGACTGGATAATCTGATGTGCGGTGGAGGTATGATGCAGAACCAGCAGCAACAGCAACAGCAGCAGACCCGTCAACAGCAGCAGATGCTGATCAACCAGCAGAACCAACAGCTCCAGCAACACCAGCGCGAGCAGCAGGAACTGTTGCAGCACCAGCAACGCCTTATTCAGCAGCTCGCAGAGCAGATGATGATCAGCCAGCAACAGCAGCAGCAACAGCAGCAGCAGCAACTCCACGTCGACCACCTGCAGGTTCCCGGGGGTCTCCAGAGCCACTCGCTGTTCCAGGAAGAACAACCCGCACGCCGGGTGGTTTCAACGGAAGAGCTGCCGTGGTCCGAGCTGTACAACCTGTTTGACCCCGCTCCGCTGTCCCCAGCTAGCACCGACGACGACCCTGACCACGATGAGGAGAGCTTGCCCAGTCCTGGAAACAGCCCAGCGCCGTCTTCAGTTGCGAGCTCGGGAATGGCTTCTCCCTCTGTGGCGCCAGGACAACAGGCCATTTTGAATTTCTTATAACATAGTTCAGGGGTCTCATCGAGCCTGCCGCTGCGGTGATCAGATCAAGACCGAGAGTCTCCAAGACGACAAGGGCGAAGCAGCATACGCAGCTGAGCTGCAAGCTGCAGTATATCCGATGCGCTTATATTTGGGGGTATTTTTCTTTTAGCTGTTTTAGTGGAGCGTTGTGCAACATGAGATGTGACGAGTGCCACGAGGAATATGCACACAGCGCATACGTGTGGGAACCTGCTTAGTACAGTAGGTAAGAGCAGCAAGAAGTATCAGCATCAGCATAAATGCAATTTACGGCTCTCAAATTTTCGATGAAGAAATATAGAAAACTGCGGCTTAATCTCAAGTAATCTCGGCGGTGATGCGAGTAATTTACTGCCAACATGGACGAGGAAGGCACGAGAGCAGGTGGAGACGGAACGCGCGGAGCTTGGATCCCGGTGACGCGATGAGGCGCTACAACGGCCAGGGCTGCAATCTGCGCGATGCGCTCCAGGGCGAAGGCATGATCCTCCATCAGGGTATCCAAGCAGACCAAGGAACTGGAGGCCACTCCACTCGAGGCATCGCAATGGGTCCGTTCAATCACCGAGGAGGACGTGAGCCCCATTGGCCGCTCTCTGCGAAAGATAGAACCCGACGAAGAGGACAAGGAGAGAGCTCCTGGCTTGGAGAAGGTCGGAGAAGTTGCCTCCACTGATCAAGAGATTCGACAACAAGTTCGGACGATTGTTCCAATACAACGTTTGGATTTTCAAGGATAGAAGTCCGGAGTGGGTGAAAGAGAATTTCCCCAGATTCTTTAAGAGCTACGAAGAGTTCTGGGAGAATAGGATGGTTCCAGGAGGGAAGTACCACTAAGATCATCTTTAGACTAAAGCCTTTAGTGATTCAAAAGAAATAGAAGTGCGAGAAACTGATAGCACGCAGAACCTCGGTCATCCTCTACTTTTTATACTTCCTAAAACTCCTCTTCGCTGTAGTTTTCATCGTCAACGTTGTTTAATCATCGCTTATCCCACTGCATTTTTACAAGTAGTATACTACTTGTGCTAGATATGGATCGCATTGATGTGTTGGTTCAAAACCTACCGTTTAAGACCCTGATGTTAATCCCGAGATAAAAGCTATACGAAAATGTCCTTTGAAGAATGGAGGACACTCTCGCAGAGAGAGTCGAATATGCTGTACGTAGTCAGTAGCTTCCCCGTCGGCTTCGAAATCTATTATCTGTAGCTCTACTGTTCCTATACTCTCGCTCTTCATTCTGTAAATGGCTTACTCGCCATATGTCTTTAAATTTCTCACCGTGTCAACATCACACCCAAAAATTCAGCGTTTCCTCGTGCGCAACACGACTTTATCAGTGATAATTTACACTTCTGTTAATGTACATGCATCTACGTGCCTTCAATTACCGGACCCGCTGTACGTACATTAGTAGAGCGTAGTTATACTTTCCTCTTCGAACCATTCTATTCTCCCTGTGGTTTTTGTAGATCTTCGCGAATCTGCCTGTAAACGGGAAAGAGCACGAAAAAGGCAGACGTCCAGGTCGAAGTAGAACAGTGATAGATTTAAACGCACAGTCATTTTGTCTTTTGATATGAAACTCACTTTTTACCTCATTCATAGCCTCGCAGTTTTGAGGCAAACTTCCATTGGAACCTGCACTCAATGTTCTGGGCCAGGAAGTGGTAGCGGTATCTTTGGTGTTCCAGATGAATCTGTAAACTGATCCTTAAAATGTTCTGGATGGCCAGGCTCCCCTCGATGCTCAAGTGAAAAGGGTATGGGAAAGAAAGGCCTCACACATTACCTCTACTTGAGCGAGCCTGATGGAACAACTATTTTTGTGAATTGACGGTATATACATGTACATGTATGGTGCCAACACTGCATGCACAGCGTTTGTCGCTTTTGCACACGAGAGTTGTAAGCTAGCATGCAATAGAAAAAAAAGTTACGGATGTAGTATTTTGGTTCATTAAGTTTAGCTTGCTCACTGATTCAAAGTTACTTCAGCTGTGGCAAATTGTCCTCATACTTTCAGATTCGTCTATTTACGTCGATGTTTACTCCCAATTGATCCTTTTCTGAGATTACTCGCACTAACGGCTCGTTTGGCCACTTTTTACCAAGCTTCAAACTACAGCTTCGAGGGGCCGACACCCGTCTCCGCAGCGCTCACCATTCCTCCATCGGCCGTAATGACCTGGCCTGAAATCCACCCTGACGCCTTGGACGCCAAGAAGATGGCGAGTCCCGCCATGTCCGAGTCCTGACCCATGCGCCCGACAGGAATCGTGTCGCTGATCTGCTCGAAGGGCTTTCCGGTCACGTAGGCGACTCCCTCCGTCAGTCTCGACGGGACGTAGCCCGGCGTGATGGAGTTCACCAGGATGTGACCTCCGTTCGGGCGACGAACGAGCTTGGCCGCCAGAATGCGGGTCAGGTGGTGCAGCGCCGCCTTGGACGCGTCGTACACCATCCCGTTGAGCTTCTGCGGCATCAAGCCTCCAACGGACCCGATGTTGATTACACGAGCCAGGTCCGAGGACTCGGCAGCCACGTCCAGCAGAGGCAGCAGGAAGCGCGTGAGCAGGTAGGCCGACGTCACGTTCAAGGCAAAAGTCTCGCTCCACGCTGCAGCACCGAAAGAAAGTCAGTACAGACAAAAATTTCTATCGAACAAGTTCACATTACAATAACGTACCAGAGGCTGGGGTGCAGTCCACGGGGGTGTCAGTTCCACCGCCCGAGTTGTTGACGAGCACGTCGAGACGCGACTCCCGCTTGATGATCTCGTCGGCGAAGGCCTTGCACTGCTCCTCACTGGTCAGATCCACTTGCAGCTGCAACAATGCACTGAGTTAGTCCGACGCAGCTAGCACCGATATGAACAAGATACCTTCTTACCGGGATGCAGACTCCGGGTCCCTTGGCGTTGAGCTCGTTGGCGGCTTCCTGGCAGACCTCGAGTCTGCGCGAGGCGATGTACACTCTGGCCCCGTTCTGCACAAATCCGTCGGCGATCATCTTGCCGATGCCGATGCCGCCGCCCGTGACGATCACCACCTTGTCCTTGACATTGAAGAGCTCGGCGCCACTCAGCGAGCTCATGATTTCTCAACTTCCACTGCAGAGTATTGGAGGGGGGGGGGGAAATGAATTGTGGAGACCTGATGAGCTCGAGGACTCCAAGGCTTGGGGTCCTCGAGCCAAAGACTCCTTTGGACCTTGAAGGAGGTCCAAAGGGATACACGTCAGCAGTGCTAGAAGGTGCTGACTCAGCATCTTCTGACTTAATAGTCCCGTCCGGGCGAACGAGAGGCTACCTCCACTAACTAGTTGAACATGGCTACATTTGTGATACCGTACAGATCTCCCCGGCAAATCTGGAATACAGTAGCGATGTCGAATGTACTCGCAGAGCTGTAGTACAGTTAATAACTGTACAGTTATGCAGACGAGATTCGCGCTTGCTGGATGATGGGTACTGAGTTTAGTGAAAAATGGAGGGACCAGGCCTTGCAAGTGCAAGTTGCTAAATAGTGAAAGGCTCATAATGAACTTTAGATAAGTTATTGCTGTAGCACGATGCAATCATGACGGCATACGGCATGGGCGACAGTACCTTGCCCTGAACGATGAGGCAGTACGGACATTAGAACTCCCTAAACGACCGTCCCAGGCAGCGGTCTACGTGACGCGATGCTCCGCGACCAAGACAAACTCTTACAAGTACAAACACAAGAATATTGGCGATATTCGGCGATACAGTATTATATCACCGACCCCCCTCAACGACCGCGCTCTGCTTGAAAACTGAGCCGACGGTACAAGACGAGGCGCTACTTTCCCATTAATTGAGTAATTCAAACATTGACATTTCTGTCAAACCCTTTGCAAGTTTTGCAACCTTGCAGTTTCTATTGGCGACCTTTCCAGATTTGCCGGGGCAGACTGTACAAACGACTGTCCTGGTTGCATTGCACTTCCGCTCTCATGTTGTACAAGCTGAATCTCTTCTTCGACGGGAGACAGACATACGCAAGCTGCCAGAGCCGTCAAAATCGGAAAGAGATGCTCACTCACCTTTTATGGGAGGGCAAGCCTGCTGGAAGCATCTTAACCTGGACGGCAGTGTGATGGCACTGCAACTCCTTCGGTTTATTGCGAAATTCGCAGTAAACCGCAGTGCGAATCGCGCCCCACCTTTCAGCGGCGTGCTTCATGAACAGGCTGAAGACTACTGGACTGCGGCAATTACACGCACTGCAGTAGCTCGTCGCGAACGCAGGAATCCAAGGACTCAAGCCCAAGACACAAGATCTCATCTGTTTGTATCTCTTCCAGCGGCGCTGATCACCTGGTTTAGGACATTCCAGACAATCTTATAAACCAAAAGTTAAAAAGACTAATAGTTTGATCCTCCTCCTCTCATGTTTTACCGGTAAAATCGGCTGTGATTGGTTGGTTCAACGGGTTTGGCGGGGAATTCGCAAAAAAGGCGGGTAAAACTGATAGGCTCAAATTTTTACCCGTTACCCGGCTTTAGCGACATGTGCCATTTATTCTCCTTGACAATCGGCGGAAGGTCACTAAATACAGGCAATCGACTGGGAACACGGACCTTCTGTCGACTGTCAAAGCCTGTTTTTCCCTCCCCAAATTCAAAATCGGCAGGAGGCGTCGCCACGAGCAAGGAACCGACCTTCAAGCCCCTTGGCAACAGCGCAACAGGAAACAAACGCAGTGCGCAGCACTACCTAAAGCGTTAGAGAGAGCGCAGTCCTTAACCCACTCTCTGCTTGAAGAACCATGGTCGACACCAGCCGCAGCCTTCGACATGACGCCGAGACGTTCCGCGTGGCGGAGGAGCTCATCATGCTCAGCAGCCGCGCGGCCGCCGCCTCTCCATTGGGCGAGAGCGGCGACTCGCCCTCCAACATCTCGGGCTTTTGTGAACACGTAAGCAGGAGAGGCTTTAGAGACGTTTAGAGAGGAGATGGGTCGCTTTTTGGTTAGAGAGGCAATACTTATTTGTTGCTGATGCTTGATGGGATTTTTATTCTTCTCTCTATAGACGGCAAAGCAAAAGAGCGTACCGAAGGTGAAGGTGAAGGCGCGATCCAAGAGGTCCGAACTCCTGTTTCTTATTCTGTAGTATTTCGATGTGAAGCTGACGTTGTTTTGTTGCTTGGCACGTATAGGAGTCTCCGCATTCCCGCTGCACCTTTAGTTCAGGTACTGTAGTGTTTTGGTTTCTTACGATTTTTTTGTTTTCTTGCTGACATGATGCTAACGTGATCCCATTGTGATTTTTTTTTGCTTAAAAGACGAAGAAGCGCTCGTCCCGTGGAGCTGCGCATAAGAGCAGCGGCCGAGACAGCGCCAAGCTGGAGTCTGCACAAGCAGCACCCGATCAGTTAGCAGTATGTTGCTGGTGACGATGTTGTGGGTGCATACTCCTTATTTTTGCCAGTGCTAACTTGTGTGCTGCTTGCGTTTGGCAGCAGGATATTATCAACTCGCGTTGCGACGTCCCCCACTCGGATCTTCTGAAGGAGCACCGTGTTCGCTTCCGTCGAGTTCGTCGGCGGTAAGAGCAGGAGGAAAAAATGGGATAGAGGTGTTATGGCGATGTGGCTGATCTCGTATGTGTGTTTGCTCTTGGTTGTATCGGTGCAGATGGAACATCGAGCAGCGCACCAAGAACCAAGAATATCTCGCTCGCTTCCATGTGCAGGGCATCCCGCTAGTACAGCATCTCGAAGCGCTAACGCGTTGGCGGTAATTGGCGCTGTGCCGGCTTGCTGCTGCGTAGTAAGTACTTAGTACTTCGAAGTATGAAGACTTAGCGGAGCTGGTTGAAGCCGGTGAAGTAAACTACAAAAAAGAACAGAAAGCTTGACAATTGTTTGGCTGCAGTAGGTCTGTCCTGTGTCCTGCGACTCCGTTTACGGGGTAGGACGAGTACTCGATGTTGAAGCGTGGCAGATATACTCGCCCGGCTACAGTGCTGTTAGCGTGAAACCGCCCGTACATGTAGTGCAGATTGAAGAGACCTTGGTCCACCCCTTAAAGTTTAGTTTTCGGGCGATCGTCCAGCAAAGCGCGCAATGATAAAACCATTGCAGCACTACATATTCTGCGGTCCTTTTGAACTACAGACAACGGCTTCTCAACAGCAAACATCAAGTGCATTCGAGCGCAATGCCACCGTCAGCACTACAGTACTTGCCCTGGCAGGTAGGAGGACATCTTGAGGACCCATCTTGGCAGCTGCGATTTCCAGCTCTTGTGTTGGGCTCAGCTAACTTACGACAAGCTCAGCGACCACTGCGCTACGCTCTGCCAGCCGCAAGCTGGCAAAGCGCGCGCGAACGCGGCTTCACTTTTCACTTCAACGCCCACGACGTCCGCCCGGTCTCTGTTGGTTCTCAGGTGTTTCCTTAGGTTCAGCAATGCCTTTGAACTCAGCGTGGTGCGAGGAGACAGACACAAGAACCGACAGCAAAAGCGGCAACAGCAACAGCACGATGTTGCCCTCATACCAACGCATATCGACAATGCCCGTGTACTATTCCGGCCTGGTTTGCTGAGCATCAACCTCCTGCGTGTCTACCTCACATTGAGCTTTTGCGACCCGTCTCTACCCCTATACAAACGACCATACAAATTTAGCCTTCAGCCAGCCGCTTGCAAATTCTTCCCTCCCAACAAGAAGAAGAAACAAAACACCGGGAGCGGAGCCCAACGACGGCAACTGAGCCCGCTCCACCTAAAGCGACAGGGCGCGGCAACACGAGGAGCAGCGGCGCGCACACGGCAACAGCGGAGATCCAGGCACCCAAGGACAAGACGGCGCTCGAGATCGCGGCCGGTGACGCGCTCTTTGGAGGCGGCGCTGACGAGCACTGGGCCCTGGGGCTGAGCTCGACCAGCAGCGGGAGCGGCGCCCCGTGGGGCGTGGCGGACCCGAGCTCCTGGCACGGCAACAGCTCCGCGTCGGCAACACAGGCAACTGCAAGTGCAACAGCAACAGGAGGGGGAGACTTTTTCACTCGAGGAGGAGGTGGAGGCAACCACAACCCGCTCAAAAGTGGCAAAGGCAACACTGTGCGTAAAGCGAGAGGGGGCGGCGGCGACGCGCTAGCGCTATTGGCAAGTGCAGACGCCTCTTCAATGGGCAACTACGACCGCGACGCGCACCTGCGGATGCAAATGCCACACCGCCCGCCGACCACAGCAACAGCGACAGGGATGGGGGCGCACCAGTTGCCGACCCACAGAGTGAAGCCCTCTAACTCGAGCGGCAACAACCTCAATACTGGACCCTATTTCCACCACCTTCTGGAGCGGACCAACAGCAGCGGCAACAGCTCGACGAACTCGTTGCTGTTTAACCCATGCAGCAGTTACGCAGAGCCAACAAGCAACACGACCGGCAAAAGACCACGCTCAAGCAACAGCGGCAACAACGGCAACAACGGCAACAGTGGCAACTTTTTAAGCTCCTTTGGAGGGTATCCATCTCCTCCTCCCTTCGATGCGGACCACCCGCTGCCAGATTTTATCACTAACTGGGGGTTCCCCAGTCGCACCGGAGCTAAAGGCAACACTATCTCCACGTCAGGCGCCCCAGTGGTGTGCAGTTCCAGTGCAACAACCACTACGAGTTCCCACAGCAGCATCAACGTCACCACCAGCTCGAGTTTATCCGGGATTGGGTCCCCCAACGCGTCTTCGATGTTTGCCGGTGTGGATTCTTTTCTGCCAGATTACGATTCGTCTCTCTACTCGCTTTGGAACGCCCCGGGGGCCTACGACACAGAGAACGACGCAACTCAGGGACAACAGCAACAGGTTCAGCCGCCGCTTTACATGACGCCGGAGGACGAATTGAAGATGGATTATCCGCAGCTTCCCGAGTTTAATCAGGATCTCGACTCGTACCTAAATGATGCCATGGACTCAGGTGGACACTCCCCGCCGACGTCCACAGGTAATAATCATGGCGGTATGATGAAGATGGACCATCTGGTGACGACAGACAGGAGGACAGGTGCTGGAGCGAGTAGTGTGGGGGCTGTGGGTGCTGCTAGTTTGACGACGGGTACACAGTTCGAGAGACTACTGGCACCAGCTACGTCCGAATATCTGGAGAAGCGGGAGCGTGGAGTGGATCAGGCTTCCGAACGTGCGGTGAAGAGATCTCGTGGAGTTTTCGACGATACGTATGCTGCTGGTCCAGTTAGCAGCGGTGTGGTGACGGGATCTAGCGCAACCGACAACGTCAGCTCCTATAAGAGTACTGCGATCGAGCCGAAGAGGGCGTTGATGCCCTCGCTGGGCTCTTTCCAACCAGCAGCATCATTTCTGATGCCGACGTCTGCAGCTGTATCGAGTCAAGTGAATACGACACCCTCGAGTGCTGTTGTGGCGTCGACGACGACGACTGTCACGCCGACGTCTGCTGCGTCCGACACAGGAAGTGCCAAGGGGTCGAAGCGCCCGCGCAGTCGACAGTGCGAGTTCCCAGGCTGCCAGAACAGGGCCCGGTCGCACCAGAAGTGCAAGAAGCATGGCGGCGCCCACCAGTGCGTGTTCGAAGGGTGCACGAAGAACAGCCAGAGCCGCGGACTGTGCATCGCTCACGGTGGCGGCTCTCGGTGTACGCGCGAGGGCTGCGTGCGAGCGGCTCAGTCGAAGGGCCTCTGCAAATCACACGGTGGCGGCGAGTACTGCGCTGTGGAGGGCTGTCACAAGAAGGCGCATCTGAAGCACTTGTGTCGAACTCATGGCGGTGGCGTGCGCTGCAAGGTCGACGGGTGCTCGAAGTGGGCACAACGCAAAGGCTGGTGCATGGCGCACGCCAAGGAGTTTTCGGCAACATCATGAGGACGGAGCTATTGCAGGTTCTCTTCGGCTTTATTTCTTATTGGAGGTGGGTGGGTGGACGGATGATCTATTATGGACAGGATATTACAGAGGGCACCCGAAAGCCTTCGCTTTCCAGTCTCACTATAATATAGCGGGTTTTGATGCATAGGAGATCTATCCATCTCGTGCTCGCCGCTGCTGTGTATGCATTTTGAACAGGTTCAGCCCAAGTTGCAACGGATTCGAATTCAAAAAGGTAAGTTATGGATAGCTAGGATGAAAAGCTACTTCGTTGCTACGTGTTCATGCTCGTGGCGTGCTCAACATTGTGCGTTTCTTCATGTTGCAGGTGCCTTGCCATTCTCCTCTTCACGCCCGCATAATATCGGCGAAAAACTGCAGCGACGGCGACGAGGAGGAACCGGAGGCTGACGGAGCGGGCGACGGCTTGCGGCTGTCCAGGAACGCGTCTCCGATGAGGCCGATGCCGCTCGGCTGCGTCGCCACCACCTTGGAGTGCGTCATGCACATGCCCTGACGCTGGGCCCACTTCTCGCAGCCGGCCACGCAGCACTTGGCGCCGCCGCCGTGTTTGCGGCACAGCCGCTTCAGATGCGCCTTCTTCTCGCAGCCGACGACGATGCACGGACGTCCTCCGCCGTGCATCTTGCACCGCCCGTGGCTCTGCGACGCTCGAGAACACCCGGGCTCCTGGCAACGGGAGCCACCGCCGTGGCGGATGCACAGCCCGCGACTCTGCACGCTCTTGGTGCAGCCTGGACTCGAGCAGCGCTTGGACCCGCCGTGCCGCTTGCAGCGGTTGAACGCTCGCGCTTGGCTCTTGCAGCCTTCCACGCAACAGAGTTTGCGCTTGTCCGGCGAGAACTTGGGCTCGTGCACGGTGGACATGCTCGTGAATGGCGCGCTCAGGCGACCTCCACCTCGCTTCTTCACGCCATGGAACGATTCCGCGGGGCTGTAGTCCAGCAGCTCGTCCAAGTGGCGAGCTGCGTAGCCCCCCGCTGGAAGAGTCAACGATGATGCATGCGCCGAAATGGTCGACTCCGTCGGCGTTGCGGGCATGGTGGTGGTGAATATGACGGGGGACGTGTCACGCGGCATCTCATCGTCAAAGCTGTCAGCTCGCTGTTCAAGTACCGACGCAGACTGCTGCTGCTGTGCGTGCTGGCCGAAACTCGACGGTAGTGTCGGGACGGGACTGTGCACGCTGTGGAGCGTTGGGATGCCTGCGTAAAGCAGCAAAGCAAGGTGTCAACCATCAAGCCACAAGAGAGAAACACGCACCGAGCGACAGGCGCTCGCTCACCTTCCGGGAAGTAGTCGACGGACTGGCGCGCTGCAGGCGGAGGGGGCGTCAGGGGCATCGATGGTGCGTAGTAGCTTGACATCCCCGTCGCGTACTGTCCGAACTGCGAGAACTGGGACGGAAGCTGCTCGCTCGGCTGCTGCTGCACTTGCAGCTCTGGCAGTGTGGGCGGCGCTGGATGCTGCTGCTGGCTCGGCTGGAAAAAGGCACTGTCCGAGAAGCTCGAGCTCTGGGACGTGAAGAACGGCTGGAACTCGGTCGACTCCTCAAGCTGCGGCATGCCCAGCGAGTTGAACGACTGGAGCAGCACGCCCCCGTTGTTCGTGGTGTCCCCCGACGACTCGGCCTTGAGCGACGGGATCGGCGGAGGCGGCAGCAATACGTTGTTGTAGCGCGCGGGTCTCAGGACAACATCGTGCTGGGGTGGAGTGTTATACTCTTCTCCGTCGCCGTCGCCGTAGTTCCAGTAAGGAGAGCGCGAGGTTGTCGATGGTCGCAACGGCGGTTGCTGCAGAAACGCAGACTGGCTGCGGAGGCGCGAGTTGTTCCACTCCATCGGACCCGCTGGACGAGGCGACAGATGCGTGAGGTGTGCAGTGCACTGTTCCCAGATTTCAGAGAACCGGTTGACGTACGTGACGGAGCTAGACCTCGCTCCAGACACTTCGGCAAAGCAGAATGCCAACGGACGGGAAGGGAGCGGAGAATTCCGAGACCATCGCTCTGCAACGGGGAAACTCGTGAAATCGCTCTCAATTCAAGCGCGGTCGGCGGCACCTGTCCCACAACAAAGACCAACCTCCACAGCCTTGACAGCTTCCGACCCAACTTTCGGGCAACCTGCACTGCAACGCGTACATATTCAAGTTTCATCTAATACTCAACTGACTGACCAATCACATTCCTTACAATATCAACATTCACGTTGCTAACCTCACAATTGATTTTGTGCGGCCAGCAGAAGACCGCACACCCCCTCGACCAAAATGGCTGCTCGCCTCCTGCTCGCGCGCGCTGCAGGACGCCCGCGCTGGGCCGCGCCCCTCGTGACACGCTCTAGCCCCTCCTCTTCACTCGCCGCATTCGGGCGCTTAGCCGCGCGCGCGCCTCCTGTCGCTCACCCGTTGGCGCGTCGTGGGGCTTTCGCGTCCAGTCAGTTCCCTGGAATTCAAAGCTCATTTTTCAGCTCGCTCACGAAGCCCCAAGCGCCCGAAGACAAGAAGCCCAAGGCTGGTGAAGATGTGGGGGCTGTGAAGCCCAAGTCCGACGCGTTCGGCATTGAGAAGGACACGTGGGCCGAGCGCCACAGCCCCGAGTGGATGCTGCCGTACATCCAGATCTCCCGCGTCAACCGTCCCGCGGGCACCTTCATGCTGCTGTGGCCGTGTTTCTGGAGCATCTCCATGGCCGCGCCTGCGGGCCAATTGCCAGACTTGAAGCTGCTCGCGCTCTTTGGCATGGGCGCGTTCATCATGCGCAGCGCCGGATGCACGATCAACGATATGTGGGACAAGGACTTCGACAAGCAGGTGGAGCGCACCAACAAGCGCCCGCTGGCTGCTGGCAAGATCACGTACCCGCAGGCGTGGGGGTTCCTTGCGGGGCAATTATCGGCCGGATTGGCGGTGCTGCTGCAGCTGAATTGGTATAGTGTGGCCATGGGTGCGTCCTCACTCGCATTAGTCGCCGCGTACCCGACGATGAAGCGGTTTACCTACTGGCCACAAGCGTTTCTGGGTCTTACTTTCAACTATGGCGCGCTGCTAGGCTGGGCTGCGGTTCACGGATCGTGCGAGTGGCCTGTGGTGCTGCCCCTGTACGCCGGTGGTGTGGCTTGGACGCTGGTGTACGACACACTGTACGCGCACCAGGACAAGAAGGACGACATCAAGATCGGCGTGCGCTCGACCGCGCTCCTCTTCGGCGACAACACCAAGCCAATCTTGAACTGCTTCTCGGCTGCTGCTATCGCAGGCTTCGGCACGGCGGGCTACATGGCAGGCCTGGACTGGCCGTTCTTCCTCGGCCTGACAGGCGGAGCGGCACATTTGGCCTGGCAGGTGAACACTGCCAAGCTTGACGACCCGCTCAATCTTCAGGCGCGGTTCGCCTCGAACAAGTGGTTCGGAGCGCTCATGTTTGCGTCCGTTGTGGCGGGCAATGTGGTTTAAATGCTTTGGTGCAGGCTACACCACGGCAGCAATAACGATACTATCATAAAACACACCTAGAGAGTAAATCGCCAATGTCTATGTCATCTTGCACACGATTAAAGTGTAAATTGCTGGGCACGGGTGGTCACTTTTGCGTCACTATTAGGTACGGCAGTACTAAAAACTTCATATCTATGCTTGGCCGACAAGTAATACTTCGGTATAATGTTTATCACGCTACCTAGCTAATATTTGTAGTAGGAAGTAAGCTGGCAAGTGCGCGGTCGTCAGCAACCGTGCCTCCATTTTGCTGGATGATTATCTTTCAGAATTTTAGTTACTGAACGAAAAGCGGCCAGGTTATACTACTAGTCCATCACAGAGCGCGAGGAGGACAGCTCCAGCAACCAGCAGAGAGAAGCCATGCTGCATTGCGGCGTGGTGCTCGGGACTTGAGGACTTGGAAGGAGAATGCGAAGTGGTGGTGGTTCGAGTCGACAGAGCGTCGATCTCAAGAAATCATCCAGCATGCTAACGGTACTACAAGTAATCACATGTAGCAGGGTTCACAATAAATCGACGCCAAGCATTGAGCGGCTCTCAATCAACCGCAAGCCGACGCCGTCGCGCGCGAAGCTTGCGAGGCTTACGAAGATTCTGAGTGCAGCACAAGGGACGCGGAAACGTGTCTCGTGGGTGCGGAGGTATAGGGGGATGGGGGTGCTGGCAGGTAGGCATCGTCTTCGCCGCAAGAACGGACAGAAGGGCTTTAGGTAGTAGACAGAGGAGCAGTTAGCCCGCGCCGTGGGCCCCTCGGCCTAGCGGCAAGTAGTGGGGTGAAGTGAGAACATAGGAGTAGAAACGACAGAGGAAGAACTGGTAGATGGAGCCCTGAGAAAGCGCTGGCGTAGATAGTAAACCAGCGTCTATAGCTTCCTACTAGTGCTGCAGCGCAGATAGCATTCAGCGAGTGTGGATGAGCTCAACCACAACAGCTCACTCACAACTTCGTCTCATAGTTAATTTATCGCTTGCGCTATCATTTTATTGGGGTGCTATGGCCGCTGGGGCTCACACCGATGAGCCGGCGATGAACGAACGGAGCGGCGACGTTGGTCGCCACGCCAACTTGGTGCTGGTGCGCTCATACATTCGAGAACTCTAAAGTTCTCTATTGTAATACCTGCTAACTATTTATGTGTGCATGAAAAATACACACCCGCTGGTGTCGGAAGTGGCAGTACTACCTGTATATTGTTAGGCTTTTGAACCCCCATTTTTGAGATAAATGCTAGCTGTGCTCACCCCCTCTCTTCCCAAATTGCGCGGCTACGACTCGTAGCGATAACTCTCATGTGTATTGGCCGATCCCTGTTTTGCGTTCCAGGCATCATGTGATTGATTCCAACCAAAGAAATTTACATTTTGCATTAAAATGGAGGATTTAAAGAGCCAGAAATCCCTGGTATCCCCGCCCTACTTAAGTAGAAGTTTGAGCGAGGAGGGAAATAAAGCATCATACGACGACCCGTTGAATATTCAGGCCCGATCCTCGTGGAAATGTTCGAGGCGCACCGCTGAAGCTGGCAACGCTTTGTTTGGATTCGTCACTTGGCTATTCGCTAACGAGTCGTAGCTAACAACATTGTCTAGAACTTTTGATACTATGGAGGTACTGGCATTTTGGTTGAGTATCATGCGTAATAAGGAGATGCATAGAACAATCGTTTTTGCACGCTACCGCACAAGACGAATCCTAACCCTCTGTTCTTCTTCTAGAACAATGACTTCGATCGGAGATCACCTGCTCTCGCGCACCTTGCCAAGGCGGGCGACGCGCCGCTGATCGAGCCGTGCTTGTCCGATGAGGATGCTGAGCGCCTCGTAGATGCCTACGAACGCAACGACACCACGGAAGCTGAATTTCTCGCGATGATAACGGAATCTCGCCCGTTTACGCCTCCTTCGACGACCCACTCGGTGCTCATTGACAGCGGAACCTACTGCTCGGCTGTCGCCATGTCCACCGACTTCAAGTCGCTCATTCACGACAACGTGAACGCTGCATTGAAGGAGATTTTCGCGGAACATGGGATCTCCATGGTCCAGAAGGCTTCAACGGGAGGTGTTCTTCTCCACGGGACGACTCGTGAAGCGGAGCAGGCCAGGAGGTGGTGCTGCTTGGCCGCAAGTTCACGATCAAGCGCCAATCCTCCATGGCAAACAAGTTCTTTCTGGATGTATTTGGCGTTGGCTCGACTGAGACGGCTAACAAGCTCTACATGAGCTTTGCCGCTCTTGGTGCGAGACCGTTGTTTCTGACACCACGAGATGTCAACATGAAGGCCCAAGCTGCTACACCAACCTGACGCTTCTACTTCGGCCTGGACGAACCGCCATCGTGCCTGATGGTAAACGGGTTCGTAACGAATCAGCTGATGTATGGAAGGAAGCTCTTTTTGGCTCGTGGAGGGCGCTCGTTAGCGCCACCGGAATGTGCCCGAGGGTACAAGAAATCCGCGTATGCGGTCACCTTGCCATATGCATCAACTCGCGAACGCAACACGGCATGCACCGGGCGGCAGCTCGGGCACAAACGCTTGCCGTCAAGATGCGGTGAAACCAGCGCTGACAAGCTCAGCGCGATCGACGAAACCCCGCCCTGCTCGGAGCCCAGCGATGAACTTCTACAAAGTTTCCAGCGTGTCAACGGTGCAAGAGCCTCAAGATAACTGCGACCAGCCCACACCTTCTGCGATCGATGATTACAAAGGTGGGGAAATGGACACGGAGATGGTCTCAGCATCCAGCGACGAAGATGCGGACATGGCACGCCATCTCGAAACGGGCTTCAAGAGAATTGAACGCTCGTTTGCGGACAAGAACCCGTTCGCGGAGCTCGACACTGTCAACTGCGAGTTTGAGGATTTCCAACCGGATGCTCCCTCAGACATGACTCCAGGGTTTCTGATGGTACCGATGATAAGTCGTCCGACGCCTTCGCAAGAACCTCAACCTACGAAACGTCGCTCTGCGATTTAAACAAGCCCGACAAGCTGAAAGCTGCAGCGGAAGATGCCGTTCTCGTCGACGCCACTGAAGCCCAGCTTGAGCAGCGTGAAGATCGGATGACCCAAAAATGCAACACCTCGACTTGGTGGATAATCTACTAAGTGATACGAAAAACATGGATAAAGTGGTTGAATCCATGCGAACGTTCCCTACTGCGTGGTCGACAGTGATATGCAGTGACCTAAACGATGGAGGCGTTAACTTCTGTGAGCTCGCCGATATCCACCTCCTAGATCGCATCCTTGCCGCCAACATGCACAACGCCAAGATGTCCTTCCACGAACGCGTGGAGGCATCTCAACTGCCGTTGGGTAAAACTCGCACAACCTACATGAAGTGGCTGGGTGGAGCACTGGGTGGTCAAGTGAAAAAAAAAAACAGTGGGAAATTTTCCGCTTGCTCAGCTCCTTTGAGCTGCTAGTCATGAACACATGCCCGTTCATATTCGAATCGTTGAAGTTCTCTTGTTGGCGAAGCTGAAAGACGGAATTCCACACGCCTATGTGAAAATGATATCTGGTGCTACAATCCTTCGGCTGCTACGATGTGCCTTAGGGCAGCAACTGCTAGTATAGCTGCTTGAGCCGGTACCCAACTGTGACGTGCTGGGGCGCATTGAAAACTTGCGCAACAGCGAACCACTGCCGGAGGAATTGCTTTCAGTGACTTTGGATTGCCTGTCGCCGAGTGTAATGGCGAGCACTGACAACTAAGATGGCCATGGGAGTTGATGTCGGCCAGTCATGTAAAATATTGATTTGGAATGTGCATGGAGTGCGAAAAGGTGGGTACAACATCATCTCGTCGCACTTGAAGCACTATTATTTTTCGTGTATTCAAGAAACCAAACTGAGGCTGAACCTTTCAAGTATCTCGTGCACCAAAGTTTTGGTGGTCGAGTGTTTTTGTCGGATAAAAATGGCGAGTCGCAGATTACTGCTTTCCCTCGAAGCGGAGGAGTGGCGACTATTATTCATGGCTCGTGTCTTGGAGTGGAATCGACCAGTGCCATCCAAAACTATTCCGAACAGGTATCTGCAGGTTCGGTTGAGCTGGGGTGATCACACATGTTATATCCATAATATCTATGCACCAAATGATGCAGCGGCCCGAAAGACATTGTTTCAGCGCTTCCCCGTGGACTTTGATGAAGGTGCAATCCATGTTGTGTGTGGAGATTTTAATTTAGCGTTAGATCCGGAGGTGGACTCGATTGCGGAAGACCGGCGTTCTGATTCAAGTGTGGCGCCGTTACGTGCGTGGTTAACTGAGCTTAATGTTGTGGATGCATGGCGGCTTCACCACCCTCAAGATCAAGTTTTTTCGGGACCAAGACCTCGTCGAAACCGTTTAAATTAATTTTAGTGTGTGACCCGTTGGTATCGACTTGCTATGAAGATTCTGGTTATCATACGTGGGATGAAAGTGATCACAAGTCGCATCATGTGGAGCTGACGTCATGGCACCATCCGACCGGGCCAGGGTTTTGGAGATTACAAGATTGGCTGCTTTGCATCCCTGAACTTCGCTCTGATATAAGAAATGAAGCACGAAACCTACTATCAGATTGCGTTTGTCTGACAACCCTGGAATTGTATGGAAATCATGGAAGCAGCGGATGCAAGCATACCTCAAGAAATGCCAAAGGGCCTAAAGGCAGCTGCAGCTTCTGAATTGGCTATGGCCCGTCAGCAGCTTGAGGATTGTGCATCTACGGTGGCTTACGACAGTGCGAATGATCAAGCAGCAGTAAATCTATCTTTTGCTAAGCAGGGATACGAGCAGAGTAAAGAGGAATGGGCTGAGTTTCGTAATCAATCCGTGTTTGAGCATTCCGTGACGGAGTCGGAACTAAGTTCGTCTTTCTTCTTTCGAAGTCCAAGATACGAGTTACGTAATACGCCCTTCCAATCAATCCGACTTCCAGATGGAACGGTGTCTACGGACCCGGCAGCTGGGGTGAAATCTTTGCTGATCGCAGCTATTCTGAAGAAGAAGGGGCGCATCCAGATGAAGTCGCACAATGTCGTCTGCTTGACTCAATCCATCGCAAACTGTCGGCCGAAGCACGAGAAACTTTGGACGCTGAGTTGAATACCGGTGAATTTACAGAGGCAATACGAAGCATGCGATCTCACTCAGCACCAGGTCCCGATGATATACACCTGCCTTTTATCAAATTGATCCCGATTTATTTGGTGAGATTTTGCTGATCGTTTTTCGTTACCAACTAGAGCGGGATGAACTTCTTCCCCACCAACGATATTCTTCCGTCGCCTTACTCGTCAAGAAAGGACCCCGGGAACGTTAGGCCGATTACTCTAATACCGGTGGAAGTCAAAGCCTTGTCGGGTGTTGACGGATCGGCTGAAGCCATTCATGCCTACCCTTGTTCACCATGATCAAAAAGGTTTTATACCTGGGCGATCGATTCACCACCAAGTAATGTTAGTTCGTGACCTCCAGCACTTGGTGAGCTGTCGTAGGGGCAAAGGTGTGGCAGCCTTCCTTGACTTTGCTAAAGCATACGATAGAGTGAATCGGGAGTATCTGTTCAAAGTCATGGAGCGTCAAGGCTTTGGTGGATATTATTCTCTCAATATGTCGCTCACCTTCAAGAGCAGCTCCAGATGGTAGAGTGTTATTGTGCTGGATCCGGGGCCAAATTGAACCACTCGAAAAGTGTGATCATGAGCTTGAACAACGGTCATTCTTCTCCAATACTGGGACCTCTTCGGCCGTTGCGCAAAGGTGATACCGTCAAGTACCTCGGTATACCATTTGGAAATGCAGATACGTGATCCATGCTAGCAGCGCAGCTTGAACATAAGCTAATGGCTCGACTGCAGTTGTGAAAAGGCAGATTGAGAACCCTAATGGGTCGGCGTTTAGTTGTTCAAGCTATGATTTTGTCTTTGCTGTGGTATTTTACAACTACAACTAATATCCCAGTTCGATTCATGAAGCGCTGGCAGAATGTAGTTATGCGCTACATACTATATAATATCGTGTTGGCATCGGACCGGGAATAATATCGTTCGCAAGAAGTTTGCCCTTCAAGCGCAGGGATGGGTGTGCCTGAAATTGCAGTGTTCATTCAGCGCCAGCACTTTATGTTGCTTCAGCTAATTGTCCAAGCACTTGAAACCCGTGATAGCGACCCAGAGGTTGTGTGGTACCGACCTGTTGCAGAGCTATTGAGACTTCGTTATGGTCTGTACTCACGGCCATGATCTAAAGATTTTCTGCTTCAAGATCCTCCACGTCCACCAGGATGGCGAGCAGCGATGCTACCAATATGGTGGCGCAAGGTGATTCGCGACTGGAATTAACTGATGTGGCCCCGTCGATCCCAACTTCGCGTCACTAGAACCAAGGAGCTAAAATACGCACTTTTTAGTCCAATATGGTGGAGTAAAATGCCCGATTTTCAAGTGGGAACTGAATCTCAGCGAGTGCCTGTTGGAACTGGTTCTATCAAGTTTAGACGATTGTGTCGCGAGCTCTCAGCCAGTCTTGATGATGTTTTGGATTATTCTCATCGATGGCCTTTGGCTTTCGATTTCTTTAGTACGGTATCACAACTTCTCGAGCATCAGCTCAAAACGCAAATTGAGCTTGAAGACATAATGCTGCTATATCGCCAACGCACACAAGTTTTTAAACACGTCCTGCCGCGCCCAGAGGATGGTGGAATGAGTGTTGCCACACGTGAAACCATTCCCCCGACGTATGGTATCCCACTCGGAAATGACACCAGATATTTCCCCCACCTTCGCAAGCTAGATTGGAAACTCTTGCTGCAAGTTGATGACGAAGTGGGCACCCATCCGACTTTGCTGGGATGCCCAACGCCCTTAATCCCCTCGACGCGGTCGGAGTGGAAGTGGCTTCGAAGATGCGTCATTCCTGTTATACACGACGTGATGCTAAGACTTTTCCTTGGTGGTCTTATCGTCGGGTCACGACTTTATTGTTTGAAGTCGCTGAATGCCACCGTGCAGCAGTGCGTTCGAAGATCATGCGTTGCAATTGAAACAGTTGAGCATTGCTTCTTTTCTTGCCCAGCACTGGGTGAGGTGAGGCAGACAATGTGGCAGCCTTGGAGCCAGGCGTTTATTGCAAAATTAGATTGGCGGCTACTGCTGTTCCCAAGCCACGGGATCTCAGAGCAGATTGAAGACGGCATCAGAAGGAAGTGCTGCTGCTTTGGAGGGTGCATACTTCCATAGCGTTTCATGGTATATGGAGACTTCGTAATGGTATCTACTTTCATGAGACGGACGCTAACAAGCCAAGCACACCAAGCGTGAAGACGACATTTGGCCGACATTGCCAATGCTTTTCGGCATTCAACAAAGCTTGGATTTGACAAACATGCAGTCTGTGTTACCCTTCGGAGATTGAGATTCGAAGAACCCTGTGAAGAAATTACTCCCCCCGCCATCAAGACGGATTTGGATTCCCCGTCAATAACTAGCGCAACAACTTAGTCCATTTATGTTGTGGTAGCTAGCAAAACGAGACGTTCATTAAGCAGTTAATCCACTTCTTCTTCTAAGGAGATGCATAGATACTTTTTGCTAAGAAGTATACTCGAGATCGGTGGACCTGAAGATTGTATTTTAATAAAGTACAATTTTCGCGCTATTAAAATACCGCGAAAAATAACTTAGGTACATTGTTGAGTCTGCGGAAAATTTTTAGGGGGGGTCATCAATTACGGTTCCACCAACTCACGAATTGGGATGTGTGTTATTGCGCACCCTTTGAAAACGATTGATTTATACCTGACATGCAATTTGCATTCATCAGTGCAACGTTCACTCGTAAGATTAACTCAATTAATGCAGCATTTCATAGCTGCATAGACTTACTTTGAAGTACGATATCCTTCCTGTGGTAGCCCGTCAAACGTGAAATTTATTGAAATGACCTGAAACATTATTTTTCTTTGTTCTTGCATTACA